AATCTGGTTGAGGGTGATCTGTCCTTTTTCTTTTCTAAAGGGCCCAGCTTTCAATTTCTTTGGTTTCTCTCTCCTTTGTGTTTGTTTTTCATTTCTTCTTGTTCTTAAATATTTCCTAATGCATACTGAGTTTAGTTTTTTTGTTGATTTTATTGTGTAAACTATAGTTTCTGATTTGAGATGTTTTCCTTGCTAGTAAAAGCTTTTTAAGCTGTAAATTTCCCTGTAAGTGCTGTGTTAGCTACCCTATATCTGTTGATGTCTTTTCATTCATCTAAAAAATTTCCCTTGAGACTTTCACTTTGGCCCACGTATTGCGTGTGGGTTTTGTCCCAAATACTGGGAGATCCTTCAGGATTGTTCATATTTATTTCTAGTTTAATTGTTGGTGTTAGATGACATATTTTGAATAACTGAGATATTTTGTATGGAAGAAGCTTGTTTATGACCACCAGACCCTGCATCTTGGTGCATGATCTTCGGCTCAGAAGCTGCTCTGCAGGTCAGCTGGGGCAGCTCTTGCTTGCTGAAGCTGCCGTGCCTCGGGCTGCTCTCTGCACCCTGGGCCAGGCCACGGGATCTCCAATGACTTGAGCTCGGCTTTCTTTTCTGTTGTGCCAGTGTTGGCATTGTGTATCTTTCTGCTCTGATGTAAGAGTACGCAGGTGGGGAGGTTGTCCTCCATAGAATGGGTCTTGTGTTCCCTGGGCACCCCTGTGTCCTGCTGACTGTCTGAGCCTGGTCTGCTCTGTCTGCTGGGGGTGCAGCCGGCCCTGTGGTCCTGGCAGCGTGCACAGAGCTGGCCCTTCCTCTCGGGAGCTCTGTGCTGGTGCTCACGTTGGTTTCTCTTGGTGGTGGGTGTGTGAAGGGTCTGCAGTGTGCTCCTCTGTGGTGCTTCCTTCACAGTGGTTCACAGGGTGCTTCTGGCATGTTGGCTGGACACTCACCAGTGCTGCCGTGTACTGTGGGCTGTTTTGTCACTGGCTGGTGCCCTGTGGGTATCAGTGCAGTGTGAGGGTGTGGGTTTGTCAGTCCCCTGCTGGGGCTCAATGCTGGCCAGAGGGTCTTGTTGCCGAGCCTTGTCCCGCTTTACTGTGTCCTCTTTGGGTTTGGCTGGTTGCACAGCCCCAGCTGGGGTGTGGGAGACAGACAAGCAAATGCAGTGCTGAGAAACGGAGACAGGAGCGCTCCAGGTCCTGGGTCCGGGTCCTGCCCTGGCCCATGTCCCCTTCAGTCTCCGGAGGTGGACTTGTCCGGGGCATCTGCCTTGCCCCGCCATAGCCGTCTTGCTTTCCTGCTGAAAGGCAGCCTGGCTCCATCATCAGGGGTCTTCCTGTTTCTGTTTCCCAAGCATTTCCCTTCTCTATCCAGTTTTCTTGTTCCTTTGCCCTTGCGGGTTCATGCCTTATTCTCTTTATTATTTTTAAAAATCGCCTTATTCTCAGCTTGCCGTGTTTGAAGGGAGTGGAAATAAACACTGTCTGTGTCCCCACTGCATTTCACACTGACCGACCATCTATGTGACTGTTTTAGCCATGTTGTAATTGTTGACCTTGAGCTGTTTAGAGGCTTTTTCCTTTTCCAAGTTTTTACCCCACTTAAAAGAAAGTTGTGTGTGTTTGTGGTGCGCGACGCTCGTTTGCAGGAGTTAGTGTACGAATTAGTGCATGTGTGTCATACCTTCAATCCTCTAGGTCCCCCTTTGCCTCCCTGCTCTCCCTTTCCCTGTCTCCACAAGGTCTGCCTACCTGCTGCCTCTCACCTGCTCTTTATTTTGCTCTTTATATTTTAGCTTTCTCATATAGCATAAACCAGACCTCAATATTTAACTTTCTGGAGCTCACCCTGTAATCTCAAGGTCCGTCACTTTTCCTACAAATGACTGACATTTGTTCTTTCTGGCTGAGTGGCACCCCGCTGCATACATAAGCCGCACTTTATCTGTTCGTCCGTCGGGGGCGTCTAGGTGATTTCTGTGAGCTGCACTGCAGCAGCAGGGAGAGACATGGAAACGACACTCAGGGTGTGGAGGCAGGCCCAGGGTCAAGTGAATTTCATTTCAGAGCTTTGACGCGTCTCCATACTGCTCCTCCTGGTCTTCATCCACACCAGCAGTGTGTGGCTCCTCCTCCCCACTCCTTCCTAGTGGCTGTGGTTTCTGAGTCCTGGGTGCTGGCCATTCTCACTGGAGTGAATTTCATTGTGATTCTGATTTGCGTTTCCCAAGGGGCCAGAGATGCTTACCCTTTTTTTCAGGTACTTAATGACATTTGTATTTCTGCTTTGAAAAGGGTCTGTTTATTGTAATTGCCCATTTTGGATTGGATCTTTGTTTTTTGGAGTCTGATTTTTTTTGAATTCTTTATGTATTCTAGATATTAGTGCTCTCCTAGAGGAGCAGCTGGCAAAATTGTTTCCCCATTTTGTAGGCTGTCTCTTCGCTCTGTTGGTGGTTTCCTTTGCTGTGCTGAAGCTTTTAAACTTGTTATAATCCCATTTTTTGATTCTTGGAATTATTTCTTGTGCAGTTGGGGTTCTGTTCAGCAAGTCCTGGCCTTTGTCTGTGTCTTTAAGTATTTTGCCTGTTTTGTCTTATAGCAGATTCAGTGTTTCTGTTTTTATATTTAGGTCTTTGATGCATTTTGATTTGATTATAGTACAGGGTGAGAGTTGGAGGGTGTAGACTCATTTTTCTGTACTTGGTTATCAGTTTTCCAGTAGCATTTGTTAAAGAGCTGTCTGTTGCCCAGCGCTGTTTTGGTCCCTTTGTCAAGGCTTGGTTGGCTGTAAGTGTGTGTGGCTGCCTGTGTTTTCTGTTCTGTCCATTGGGCTGCACGTCTGTCTGGTGCCAGTGCCCTGCTGTCCTGGTCATGCAACTTTGTGATGTGATCTGCAACCCAGGGTGGTGCTGAGTCCTGTTTTGCTCTTTTGGCTCAGGATTGCTTTGGCTGTTCAGAGGCTTTCTTGACTGGGATTTCTTTCCTTGTTCTCTGTCTGCACCATGATTTTTCCTGTTCTTTGTTTTTATGATTATCAACTAGTTTGTTTTCTGTCTTCTGAGATTATTCTGACTGTCTGGGCTGCTGTTGTCTCTCTTCTGTGTTTTGTAAAACTAGTTTTACTTCTTCACTTGTTCATTTCATTATTTCTCAGTAGCTTTTCTGTCTCTCAGTGAAGACTTGGGAGGTGGAAGGTAGACTTATTTGTCCAGTTCATTCTCTAGGACTCAGTTGTTACTAATGTGCATCTTCTTATTTACCTTTCAGCTGACGTGGCCCAACAGTTCCAATTTGCAGTGCGAGTTATTGGCAGCAACTTTGCCCCTACTGTTGAAAGAGATGAATTCCTAGTAGCTGAAAAAATCAAGAAAGAACGTATGTATTTTTCTTAAGTATTACTTGTTGGATTATGAAATTTGTCAAAACTTAAGAATATATATGTGCATGTTCACATGTATGTATATGTGTAGCTCCCAAGCATATTTTGGTTGTAGGTACTATTAAAAATAAGGACAACTCAGTTCTTAGAGTGAAGACTAAGAGTGTAGCAGACTAAGGTTACAGCAGTACAGCTTAGCTTCAAGTGCGGGAGAGGGGCGGCTTACTGTGGCTTCCACTTCCATGCTCTGTGGCATGAGTGTTAGTTCCTTTTGAGTGGACAGCATAGCGCACCATCTTGTAGGACACCACTCTTGGCAAGTGAATCATTGCCCTTTTCATGGTTTCTACCCAGACTTGCACACTGTGGGCCATGCCAGCTTTAGTCCTGTGGCCCCTGGGCTTTCCTGAGCGTGTGCACGGAGGAGGAGGCTGTGTGAGTGGCCAGCGGCCAGCAGGGTGAGCACTACCCCTTCTACCTGGAGCCTGGGAAGCATGCCTTTGAGCCTCTGGTGGCCCACAGAAAAGTGGCCCTGGCCCTGGTGGGAGGTGGCTTGTGCTGGTGGCCTGGTCTGGACTGCTCCCTGCACCTGGGCCTTTGGAGCATGCTCCTGTCAGGGCTCTCAGCTGCTCGGAAAGAGGTCTGCCCTCCTGTGAGTCCACCCACATGAAGGCTGCATTGTGTCCCAGTGTCTGGCAGGCAGGCAGTAGACCACCAGGGAGTTGTTTGCAGTCAGCTTTTGTGAACTGCTTTGGGCCGGGAGTCTGAGGATGTCTCAAAAGCAGTGTGACCAGGTGAGGCAGAGAGCTTGCTGCTGCTGTGTGCCAGCTGTGCTGTCAGCATAGGCTGGGCATGGTTGTGTCTTCCCACGGTGCCAGAATTTATCTAGTGGTACTAAATTCACGAGTGGTGTTGGTTTCATCAGCCTCATCTGGTCAAGGTAGAATTAGAACCTTTAGAGCTAACTGAGCCAAGCTTGGTGGCACACGCCTGTAGTCCCAGCACTGGGGAGGCAGTAGGATCACAGGTTTGAGGCCATCTTGGCAACTTAGTGAGCCTGTCTGAAAGCTAAAGACAGGGTGCAAGGGAGCCCTGGAGCTGTGGCTCTGATAGTGATTTTGCTCAGTGTGTGCCAGACTCTGTGTTCAATCCCTAGACCCAGGGTGGGGAGCAGAGCTAACTGTGCTAGGCTGATTGGGATTTTCATAAAGTTCCACTCCTGAAATGGGGTGAACAGGTTCACTGGAGAATGTGACCTTGTCAGTTAGCTGGAAGAGCCCCACTTTCCTGGAACGTGTGGCGGTTTCCCAGGAGACACCTGCAGGAGTGGTGGGTGATGTGGTCCTGGCTCCTGGCTTTTCAGGGGCTCCTCCTTTGGCACAGAACTGGACCTCAGATGGGCTTGTGTTCGCTGCCCAGATAAAGTAGTTGGAGTACAAAGACATCAGTACAGTAAAATTCACTACTAAGGTATTCTGATTTTTATTTTGAAACGGTAATTGGTAGTTTTATACTAAAACGAGACGAAGTATTGCTGTGTTATATCCAAACAGGAGCATTCAGAATGTGTAGTTGTCAAGTCGGAGTAACTGTCCTGAGTGGTGTTGTACTTTTTGGTTATTGCTCTTTGAGCTCAGATTCCAGGGGCATTACTTTCCGTCCCTCTCCCAATAGCTGTTATTAACTAGTTAAATTGATGATAATTTGCTTCCTGCTGATGCATGTTTTTAGATATATAATCACTAGTGATTCTATTATTTGTATTAATTCTCACATAAATGTTTTGACCCCAGCATAGTACAGTCCATATTTTACAAATGCCAGAGGTTGGATGGATGACCAGACTTAGAGCTGGAAAGTTGCTCCTGGCCAAGTTTTGGAGCCTTAAGCTCAAGATTCTTTTCAGATTCTCCTCCCTTCCAAGATTCTTTCAGCTCTTACTGCGAGTGAAATGGTGTCAGAATGACTGTTCTGTGCCTAAGTCACGAGCCCCGTTTCTTTCCTGACTTCGCAGTTATCCGGCAGAGGAGAGAGGCAGACGCTGCGCTGTTCTCTGAGCTCCACAGGAAGCTGCATTCACAGGTAGGTTCAGGAGTCCGGAAGCCAGTCCAGGGCTGGAGGGGCTACTAGGGGGACGGGCTACTGGGGAGGGGCTGCTTCAACAGTCTGGGTGGTGATGAGTTAAACCCTGTGTTACATGGAGGGCTTTCAGTTGCGGGAGTGTTTCCTTATTTCAGTGTTTCAGTATTAGAAGTTGAAGTTGTAGCTGGATTTCATGCCACCTTGCCTGAGAAGCTGAGTGAGTCTCTTGAGAAAGAACAGACTGTGTGTGCTGCCATGGTGCTCGTCGAGGTGCTGGAGGAAGTGCTTTCGTGGGCATTGGGTCTAAAGCTTCCCTGTGGTGCGCTCTCTGATCTTCAGGCCCTGGCTCACGCTGTCCCCTGGCCAGTTGAGCAGCAGAGGACTGCGGTGTTTTGTGATTGAATGCTGACGCTTGAAGACAACATGGTGTTTTATGAAGTCTATGTCAATAAGTTAACTGAATTGTGGAGTGAGCTTTTTGTGATTTCTGACTGTAACAGTACTGAATTAATCTAGCTTTCTTGTTTTTTTGTGGAGAAAAAGGTGAAGCTGAAAAAGTTTAATGCTTTGTTCAACAGATACTAAGTCAGCGTTGCAGAGTAAAAAGCCACCGCAGTGGGCACAGTACTGCTGGTGATTAAATGCTTGTGCTGTGAATCTTCCACTGTCTTTGCATAGTTTACCTTTAAAACAGCCTTATGTTTATATACTGTTCTGATTCCTTAATCCACTCCATTGGATTCACTGTTAAGTATGTTTTTCCAGCTTGGATAATAGTTATAAAGAATGGGTCGGGATGTAGCTCAGCGGCACAAGTGCCTGCCTGGCAAGTATAAGGTCCTGAGTGCGACTCCTGGTAACAACAACAAAAAAATTACAAAGAAATAGGAACTTTCTTGGTACACTCATTTCCCGGCAGATTGTATTAAGCTGAGCTATTTGCTTTTCTCACGTCTTTTTCTATTTGTGAAAATAAGTTCTGTACTTTGGATGTAACAAGTATGTGGTAGTCAGACATCAGATTTCCCACCACAGCTTCCCCAGGAATGTCTACAGTGTTTCAGGGTGAGGATACTGCTGCTCAGAAAGAGAGTAGGGATGAGATTTGTTCTTGTTAGGGCTTTGGAGGAGGCTCGCAGGGAACTGAGGGACCAAGTGTATTGGTGCAGAACACTCTCCAGACTGCAGCACGTGGGGTAGTTTGATGCTTTGTGAAATGAGCACAGGTTCAAAGTTACCAGGTGAATTTTAAAATGCATTTCTATTTTGGAAATAATTTAGGAGAGAGTATAATTAAAGTGAAGAATTGTGTAAATTAATCGAAAATATTTTTGTCTCAACAGGGAGTTTTGAAAAATAAGTGGTCCATACTCTACCTCCTGCTGAACCTCAGTGAGGACCCTCGTAAGCAAGCCAACAAGGTGAGCGGCTGGTGCTACAGTTTGGTGGGGCTCAACTTCTGCAGCTCAGAGAAGAGTAGAAGAACAAGGGTGTGTCTAGTCAGGGAGGCCAAACAATTTTCTTTTTAAGGGCTGCTTTAGTGTGCAGTTTGCATAAGATACGTTTCAGAGTGTGGTTATCCTGATATGACATGTACAGTTGGGTTTTATTTTATTTATTTTTTTGTCTTTTTGAGATAGGGTCTCGCTGTGCAGTTCAGGCTGGCCTTGAGCTCACTTTGTAGCCTAGGCTGGTCTTAAACTCACAACCATCCTCCTGCCTCAGCCTCCCAAGTGCTGGGATCGCAGGTGTGCGCCACCATGCCCAGCTGTCTGATGGGTTTTAAACTTGTGCTTTGCCTGGTCATTGACGTCAGCATGGGTGGCCTGTTCTCCACAGGCAGGAATAGCCAGGGAGCTGCTGTGCTCCTGGGGTCAGGGTCAGCATCGCTCCAGTGTGCTTCCTGCAGTTGTAGCCCCTCTCCTGCCCCTGCCCTTGTTGTGTTGGAGAGTGCACCCGGCTGCAGACGCTGCTTGGTACAGGGGATGCCTGCTGCAGATGCTTCTTGGTACAGGAGATGTCTGCTACAGACACTCAGGGCTGAAGAGCTGAGCAGTGTGGGCCAGGCTTCGACGTATCTCTGAAGCCAGGGCGCTGTGCTGTCTTCACTATGGAATAATAGCACACCTTTACTTTTATTACTTTTAAAATTAAAATGTTTTAGTACACTTGCAGTGCATAAATAGGTGTATGTGCTTGACGTCTTAATTAATTTCATTCTCCTTTTCTCTCTTTTCTGTCTCTAGATCCCCTTCCCACTTGCTAACGATCCATCTCCATTTCCTGTGGTCTTTTGTTTTTTTAAAGCTTCTACACAGCAGTGGAAAGAATAGAGTGAAGAGACAACTTACAAAATGGGAAAAAAATTTGGCTAGCTACTCTTGACAGGATTAATACCTACAGTTTACAAAGAATTAAAAAAAAAAAAATTAGACTACCAAAATAAAATACCCAGTTAAAAAAAAGGGCAATCGAAATGAATAGATAAATCTTAGACATCCAAATAACCAATAAGTGCATGAAAAAATGCTGTGAAATGCAAATTAAACCTTGAGCGTCTGTCTTACTCTAGAAAGCCCGACCATCATCAGAAAAATCAGACTTCTGAAACTTGAGTTCCAGTTTACATGGGTTGGGAATAAATGAAGTGTTTAGTTGCCAGCTGTTGAAGTAGTTGTTGGAGAAAACACACTGTCAGTGCTGGTAGACTCAAGAGACGCCTCGGCCAGCACGTGGCTGGTGGTGTGTGGGCTGCAGCCAGGTCCAGAGGGGCTGTCCACCAGGTAGGGAGCTGCTGTGACATTCTGTCCTGGATTTCTGCTGCTTTTGTTTCAGGTGTCCAGCTATGCATCTTTGTTCGCGCAGGCCTTACCTAGAGATGCCCATTCTACCCCCTACTACTATGCCCGGCCACAGACACTCCCACTCAACTACCAGGATCGGAGCACTCAGGCGGTGCCCAGTGCAGGCAGCCTGGGCAGCAGCGGCATCAGCAGTATCAGTGCAGGCACCCTCAGCGGCCCTGGTCCTGGCCCGCAGCCTCTGCTCCCGGGGTAATGTTCCTGACCTGGCCAGGCTGGTGAGGCCCGGTGTCCGGGGGCTTCCAGTTGGTCAAGGCCGTGCATGTGCCCCCAGCATGCTGGGCAGGGCCTGTAGGCTTTGGTCGGGGCGGTTCACACTGGGCTCTGAATGAGTAGTAAAGGTTGGGTTATCCTTAGGCTGACAGTTCTGGTGTGCTCTGCGTAGGAGAGTAGATGATGGGACCCAGGAACACAGGGCTAAGCTGTGACAGTCTTTGTAGTGTAACCTGCTGTCCAGTCTGACTACATTCTGAGGTCAGAGCTCATGGAAGAGAAGAAAGCGGGGTTCAGGAGTCTTAATGGACCTTCAGAACCTGGTTTTTAAGCACATGTTCTACATGGAGGTAACCAGGTGGCCTTGCTCATTGCTGCTGTTCGTTTCTGGGAATCAGAATGAAGCAGGTGATCCTGTGTTGCATTTTCCAGAAGAATGACAGGGACTCAACATAAATACCTGGTGTTCCACAGAAGCATGCAGAGTCCCCAGTTTGTGAGTAGTGAGGTTGTAGGATTTAGAGGCTGGAATGTGAGTGCCAGGCAGGGATGAGGAGCCAGGGATAAGATTCTGTGAAGAGCAGCTCACACATTCACAAGTAGCGCCGGGCAGAGGTCATGTAACCCTCACACTCTGGCTAAATTCCTCAGCTGATGCCTCTGTCTTTGTATGTGGAATGACTAATGTCATGATGCAAACAGGTGAGTCAAGAACTTAGGGCCAAAGCAGTCTTTTAGCATAGATCTCTTAAGTTTACCAAGACATGGTTTTAGTAAGTGTTGTGTGGACTCTTTCCCCTTTGAGAATAAAGTCCTCCCTGTCCTCTGGCCTCTCGAGGTGTGCCCCCTGGTATGGTACAAGCTCTGGCACCCTGAGGCAAGTGCCTGTGAAAGTGCTGCATGTGGGCCTGCCACCCTGGAAGGTGGTGCTCTAGATGCACTTGTCAGGGTGTGTTTGCTAGAAGGCAGCTGTCATGAGCTTCCAGTTTCAAAAACTAGCAGCAGGACAGTCTTGAGATTACCAAGCTACCACGCTTTGAAGGTGCACGTTCTTCCAAATTAATTGAAATCACAGTGCCTTTTCCCCTGTGGGCAGCCTGAAGGCAGAGAATGTATGAGGGAAGGCCAGTCGCGTGGCTCCCGATGGTTAAGCACCATGCCCAGGAAATGTGGAAGTCACATTTAGCTGAGTACTTCACAGTGGTTCTGTGTGGGGAATGTGTGTCATGTGTTTGTAGAGGAAAATCGGAAGAGGTGAAACGTGTCTGGGTGGCGGAGCTAGGTGTCCCCAGCTTGTAGTGTGGCCTGAATACCAGGCCAGGCTTGTGAGCACCCTGCACAGCCCAGGACCCTGGCCTGACTGTTACGGATGTGCTCCTTGGGGAAAGCCATGTGTCGCCCCTCCCGAGATAGGGTGATTGGGGGCGGAAAGGCGAGGACACTCTCTAGGAAGGAAGGGTGGCCAGGGTGGCTGTGGAAGACGTGAGTGTTGCCTCCTTTGTCTAGACAGTCCCATCAAGGTTCGGGTGTTGGGGACTGCCTCCGACAGCAGCTGGGTTCCCGCCTTGCCTGGACTCTGACCGCCAGCCAGCCTTCTTCGCAGACCCCGACCTCCAAGGGCATCCCATGCGCTATGTCCCGAAACATGACGCGGGCAAGGAGAGACGGGGATGCGAGTGGTAAGGATGTGTTCCAGTGTTCAGGTCACCGTTCTCTTGAGCCGGTGCCAACCCGGAACCCCAGGTTAAGAGTTTCCACTGTTTGGGTCCCCGAGCCCAGGTCTCTGCTGTGACCTGGTTCTGTGGGTGTTGCTTTGTGCCTCCCCATCCAGCCCTGGCACCCCTGCTTCTTGTGCATGAGCTGCTGTCTCTGTGTTGCTCTTCCCTGGCTCTGCCTCAGTCCCTTTCCTGTCCTGGTTGCTGTCCCTGCCGGGAAGCCTCTGGCTGCTCACTCCCTAGTCTGAGTTCCACGAGGGGCCACGCCTGTGTCGGTGATGGTGCTGTACCTGGGCAGTGCCTGGGATGCTGGAGGAGCACATGGAGGATTAGCTTGATAGCGAAGGAAGGAAGGCCTTGGGGAGAGGTCTGAAGTCCTCTAGACCCCCAGAAGAAGTGGCACACACTGCAGAGAGCAGTGCTTGGTCTGTAGTGTCCCAAAGATCGAACAGTGGCTTTGCTCCTGGTTGTGACTTGCAGGCTACGCAGTCACAGTGGTTTCTGCCTGTCACTATGCCAGTGTGTGGAGTCTTTGGGAGCCATGAGGGCATCATGCTGCCTTGGGCTGCTGCAGCATGTCTGGTCTCACACAGCACCCAGCTGGAGAGCAGCTGCACGTGCTAGCCTCTACCTGCCCACAGCAGCCATGTTGGGGTATTGGGTGCTGGGCAGGCATCTGGACCCTATTGGAACCTGCCTCCCTGATTCCTGGCCAGGGCCTTGGGTTGTGTGTCCTGTAGAACAAGGAGCACACAGTAGACTTGAGGCAGGCAGAGGGTCTCAGCAGAGCAGTGTGGCAGGAAACACAGGCAAGGAAGCTGCCTCAGGCCAAATGCGTTAGGAATTCCATCAAGTAGGAACTCTTGGCTTGGAAGGCCGTTTTTTAAAAATAATTCCATTCCTATCACATCAGCATCAGCCCCTAGTTACAGCAGACTGATCAGGTCTGCAATCTCCCAAAGGAGTGGCTGGCAAAGGCTTAAATAAATGAGACAAATGGAATGATTTCAGGGCTCTGGGAGGTTCAAAACCCTCTAACAAAATTTGAGATTCACTGGACCTAAGACAGAGATCTTCTCTGGGCTGCTCATATTCATGTAGTCCTCAAAACAAGGCGGGGAATACTGAGGAAAGGTGGGACTCTGCCTCGAATGGGAGGGCTGGCCGAGGACCTTGGAAGTCTGCTCGAGGGCTTCTCCAAGTAAAACATGATGTTAGTTTAGGAGAACTGTGTTATCCCCAGGAAGGTCTCAACCCAGGAGTGACATCCCTCAGCTATAGTCTTTACCTAGGTAATAGAGGTTGGGGTCAGGTGTCCTTAGCTGTGGCCTTGTCTTGTCCTTTGCTTCGCTGGCCACTACAGGCCTCAGTAGGGACCAGTGACTCACAAGTAAACATGGAAAGCCAACTGGTTAATTATGTCCTGCTCAGAGCTGCTTCGTAGTGGTCTCCATCACAGCTGTGTGTTGCTTACCAGAGACACTTTAAATATGAAGACGCAAGCTGGTTGAAACAAGTGGTTGGGAAGCCTGGATCCTGTAGACACTAACTGTAAGGCAGATGGGGGATCCTTCCTGTCAAAGTGGCCTTTAAGGAGCAGGACCTGGGAAGGAGGGGCAGTGTAAGGAGGACAGGAACTTTTTTTTCCCCAGACTTCATTGCTATGTTTTAGAAATACATAGTGATCACATTCATTACAGGGAATCTATACCTGTACATGCTATAGCTTTTTTTCCCCCTGTTCTCCTACCCTTCCTTCCACCCCACTCCTGATTTTAAAAAGCTTTGTTCCCATTTTTTCTTTTTCTCATTTTTCTTTACTTTTCCTTTCTTTCCTTTCCCCTCCCCCTGCCTAGTCCCCCTCCCTATTTGAATGTTTTCTTCCTATTTCACAGTACCTGTTATACATTTTGATCCTTATTTACACTTTCAGCTTCTGAGAAACAATTCGGTATTTGCACATGTGAGTCCGATTTATTTCACTTAAGAATATAGACTCAAGGTGCATCATTTACCTGACAGGCACATTCTTAAGAAAGACACAATAATCCAAGTCCTGGGTCCTACATGCACAGAGCAAGAGAGACGGACGAAGATGGAAAGGAGATGAAGTAGCCGTAGTTACAGGGGGGCGTGTCCGCCTCCCTCTAACCGGGAGGCTCACTGATTGGACAGGTGGTGAAGGGTGCAGTGTGCAGCTTCCTGACCAGTGTTGACGGCTTGCTCCGCCTGTGACGTGACTGCTCTGCTGTGCTTTGCTCTGAGTCTGGCTCCTCTGTCTGCTGGCATCATGGACTTTAGGGTGTGACATCTCCTGCTTCTTGCCTGGGCCCCCCTGACTGCGTGTGCTGAGGAATGGTGGGGACCTAAGCCTCTTCCGTGCTGTGAACGCCATTTCTGGGAGTGTGTTGGAGATCAGGCTGTGATTCTCTGTGGGAGACCCACTTTACAGATGTCGCCTTCTGAGTGACACCCTGGTGATCTGTGCGGCTGTGGCCTGTGTCTGAAAGACCTTCGGGGGAGGTGCTGTGTGAGCCCCGCCGCTCTGCCCTAGCCTTGTGCCTCTGTTCCCTTGGAGCCTCGTTGAGTATGGTGGCAAATATGTACTCCGGAGACAATTGTACCGTGAGATGTGTTTCGTCTGGAAATGCACAGTTTAGTGATTGCTATCTTTTAAACACCTTTTTGCAGGTACCATGGAGATTACTGAAGCAGCTCTTGTGAGAGACATCTTATACGTCTTCCAGGGCATAGATGGCAAAAACATCAAAATGAGCAGCACTGACAATTGTTATAAAGTGGAAGGAAAGGTACAGTGACATACAATGTAGTTTAAATATTGGGAAAGAAACACGCTGTGTAGAGGGCAAACTGTTGGCCTGCAAAGTGCTCCTGGGACTTGCCTGGTCCCCTGTGGCCTTTGTGGACAGTGCTGCTTCCTCCTCCACACACTGTCAGGGGCCTGAGGGACAGCAGCCTGGCCTGGGCTTGGTCCTGACGTGGAACTCCAGATCAGAGTTCGGTTTTGTCTTCTATAATGGCCTTCCTGTGTCCCTGTTGTGTTGCCCTGGGGCTCTCAGCCCTTCTCAGTGGGACAGAGGTCACAGACCTATGTGCCATTGAGTCATTCAGAGGTCCCAGTGGGGATTCTGCAAGGGACAAGGCAGGAGCTCGGCATTCCTTCAGGGTGTTTTCCTTCCCTATGTATTTTTCATTTTGGATTTTTTTTGTAGGAATCGAACTCAGGGCCTCATGCTTGCCAGGCAAGCACTGTGCCGCTGAGCTACATCCCTGGCCCTAACTTTCATGTTGAAAGTGGTGATGTCTGAGTATAGCGTTAAGAGCACAGGTAGTTGAGGAAAATAATAATGAAAACTCTAGTGTTGATTGTGAATTTTTGGTGTGCTTGCTTTTTAGGCAAACCTGAACAAGTCTTTGCGGGACACGGCAGTCAGACTTGCTGAGTTGGGATGGCTGCATAATAAGATCAGGAAGTATACTGACCAGAGGAGTCTGGACCGTTCCTTTGGTCTAGTAGGTCAGGTATGTCACTCACGCCTCACTTCGGAAATGATGCTTAATCTGCTTAAAATCTACTGTGAAGGTGATGTCCAGGACAGTCTCCCGATGATGGGGATTAATTGGGTCCATGCAAGATGGCAGAAGCCATGGGCGCTGTTGATGGAGCCTGGTGCACAGATGGGTGAGCAGCTGGGAGGCTGCCCCGGCCAAGGAAAGGGGTTTAGAGAAGGAGGGTGGGAGGGGTGGGGCAGGGAGCTCCACCGGGGGCGCTGCCCTGATGTAGCTGCTGCTACCTCCGAGGGTAAGGAGGGGAGCAATCAGGTGTGGCCACATCCATGGCCCGGGCTCCCTGAGGTGGACTGCAGGTGCCCCCCATCGCAGCCTGAGTGGCTGGGGCTGGTGTGCTGCACTGGACATGGGGAGCTGTGTTCCCTCTTGCCCCTGGCAGCTGGGGAAAGTAGCAGTCAGAAACTGTAGAGCCCCTTCGAGGTGAGATGGCCATGGTTTCCCCCATGCTTTGATTCTTGTGCGGTAGTCATTGCCACTGATGCCCTGGCATTGTGTGCTCGCAGCAGGCAGCAGGCAGTGGGCCATGCTGGTGGCAGTGGCTGAGAGCATGGCTCTGAGGGGAGACCACCCAGGGCCACGGCTTCACCCACAGCAGTTGATCGTCCTATGCAGATTCCTTTTTTGGGGATGAGGAGAGAATGCATGTTCACTGCTGGTCCCTAGTGAGCCCAGCCCACCCACCGCACCCCTCCACTTGGACAGATGGAAAGGACAAGGCCAGGCTACGGTGGGTCCTCAGCACAGGCAGTGGGCCCTGGGCCCTGACCCCAGGCCTCCTCCCTCCCACCAGGGAGTCTTTGCCCTGCCCGAGGGCCCCAGTCCTGTCTTTGTTCCTGTCATTGGCTATGCACAGGAGGTCCTGCTCAGCCTACTAGATAAGCAGTGAGACACAGCAGAGATATAGGTGACTGAACACTCTGTAGGTATTTTACGTATGTTAGTAAATTGATGTGAAGTATTACGAGTTTAAGGGGTACCAGGTGACGCTTCCATGCAGGAATATATTGTGTCATGTTAAAATCAGGGTAGACCTGCCTGCCCCCCAGCTGTCATCTCTAGTGGTGACAGTGTGCAGAGTCCCTTTTTGTGGCTGTGTTGAATGTCCAGCCTATTCTCATGAGCTGTGGTTGTCCATTGCAGCAGCACATGGAATTTCTGTCTCTCATCGCCTTGACTTCGCGCTCACTGGCCAGCCCCTCCCCGCTGTCCACCTTCCCGCCCCTCCTGCCTCTGCTCGCTGCTGCTCTGCTCCCGGCTCCATCAACAGTGGCATCTCTGCGCGCAGGGTGCCAGGGTGCTGTCTTCCCTTGTGGCTCCTGGCTTACTTTCCCTAACACGTGACCGCCAGCTTTGCCAGGTGCCATCTGGACTGAAGGCACCTGCCGGACTGGGTGGGTGGTTGCCCAGATCTCACACGAGGGTGTCTGACTGCCGAAGCAGGGGCACTGCAACCTGCAAGTCTCGCTTTTGGGCTGCTCTGTGTCTGCAGAATGAGTACGCGAATGCGCCTTTTATTTTAGTCACATTAGTCTCTACCCACAAAGCAGCAGTGCAGGAAAACAAACCTGTTTCCTATGCTTGTGTACCCTTCTAGAGCATAACGGAACGGCTCCGTCCCTGTCTGCAGCATCCCGGCAGGCTGGCTCGGCTTCCCGCCCGCAGGGGCTGTGCACGGGGCTGTGTGCAGGCCCGTGGAGGCCCTGTCACCTCTGACAGTGTTGTTGTTTTAATGTGGCCCCCATCAGCATTAAGGCTGGATATAAACAGAGAATTTTAATTCTGTGCTTGGGAAAACAGTGTAAACCAGAGCAAAATTGGGTTGATACTGAGTTGCCAATTATTAAGTTTTGTTAATAAAGTATATTTTTAAAAGCTATCTTTTAAAGGAGAAAGACATAATCTCAAAGACTCTACAAAAGTGATTGCAATTCTTTTTTAGCTTCATGAAAACTATACTACGTTAAACAATTTTTCTTTTGTGAGGTTTATGCTCTTTTTTACTGAGGAAAAACACTTGTCTGACATTGTTGACTATATGTTGTGGCGATAAAGCTGCTAGGCAGACCATGGATGGAACCAGAATGTAAGCCATGCTGTCCCCACCTGCAGCACCGCGCCTGCGCCTGGGGCGGGTCCCTGTCCCTGGCAGCGGCACTGCACCCTAAGTGACTGCTCTCCCACACAGAGCTTTTGTGCCGCCTTGCATCAGGAACTCAAGGAGTACTACCGGCTGCTCTCCGTCCTGCACTCTCAGGTAAGTATCTTCTTTTTATTTCCATTCCTCCCTACTTTAAAGAGCTATAAAACTGAAACTTCATAGGGTATTTAAGTTACTTTGCACATTAAAGTCAGTATTGTAATGGTGTTCCTGAGTGCCAAACAGCTGTGAAGTTTCATTGTATACTAGAGCCAAGCAATTACTCATTTTTAGGGCCCTGTCTTAAAAGTACAATCATTTTCTCAGGAGACCTCTGGCTTGTTTCCTGTGGTTGCTTCATAGGCATTAAGAATCCACGTGACTGGGTTTTGTACTTAAACTGTCTGTGTTGTCTTTCAGCTACAACTAGAGGATGATCAAGGGGTCAACTTGGGACTTGAGAGTAGCCTGACCCTGCGGCGCCTCTTGGTTTGGACCTATGATCCCAAAATAAGACTGAAGACCCTGGCGGCCCTTGTGGATCACTGCCAAGGTCCTGTGGGTCGCTGTGTGTGCCTCCTCCTGTGCTGTGGTTCAGAATTCGTTGGTGGGACAGTCCATCCAGCTTTGCTTTCCTACCTTTGACAGCTATAAGTTCCCTAAGTGCAGGTTACACATGTGCACCTACAGGGGGCGCTAACCACTGCCCCAGGGTCCATGGCTGTCCGTTTGGGAGCACAGGCTGTTAGGGAGGGGAAGCAAAGGAGAGAACTCAGCATGTGGATGTGTGGTGTAGGTGCCGTGCCTGGCCTGAGCCTCTCCTTGCTTGCTTGTCCCTGTCAGCCTTCCCTAGTATCTCTGCTTCCTTCCTTCTGGGCCAGGTCATATCCATATTTGCTGTGTTTTGGAAGTTCCTTATTTGAATGTTCCCGGCCCTCTCCTGGCTGTAGCTTCTGTGCTTCCGGCTGCCTTCTGCACATTTTTCCTGCGATTTGTGCCACTTTGCAGGAACCTCTCTTGGACTGTACTGTACTGCCATCGAGGGGTGGGTAGAGAAGTTGGCGGGGGATTGAGACAGTGCAGTAACCCTGGAGCAGTGGAAGGGTGGATTCATAGAACCTGTGCTGCTTCCGCGTGTACTGGACAGCAGAATGAAGTGTGAAGCTCAGTCCCAGAGGTGTGAGAAGGCTGGGCGTGGTGGCACATACCTGTAATCCCAGCACGCAGGAGGATGCCGTGAGCCTAGCCTAGCCAGCCTAGGCTACATAGTTTAAAGCCAGCTTAAACTGCATAGTGAGACGCTGTCTCAAAAAAAAAAGAAAAAGATGCGAAGAGCTGTTCGAGGTCTCAAGTGTGTAACTGGTCACTTTTTGCCACTTTTGCAGCTGAAAAACTCCTTTGCTGTCATGAAGGGAGCAAGATCCCCTGGCTTGTGTAAAGTGTTAGAGTCTTGCTTGTGCTGCTTCTAGGTCCACCAATAGTATTAGTAGCAGGAAGCATATGTGCTTAATCTTGAGGCCATAGCCGTGCTTGGCTTGAAGTGCCTGCTTTGTGCTGGGATGTACACGTGGGTTCTTAGTCTCTTCCCTCGTTCCCCCAGGAAGGAAAGGCGGGGAGCTGGCCTCTGCTGTCCACGCCTACACGAAGACGGGAGACCCATACATGCGGTCACTGGTGCAGCACATCTTGAGCTTGGTTTCTCACCCGGTCCTGAGCTTCCTGTACCGCTGGATCTACGACGGGGAGCTCGAGGACACATACCATGAGGTGAGGTGGCAGCGGTTGTGCTGTGCCTCGGGTGAGGAGGCACCACCGCCCACTTCCTTTGTGGTTCCCTGTGGTTATCCGAACAGGGCCTGCACTTCACCTGAATGGATTTGTTCAGTGCCTTGAGAGCTGTGTGTTGCTGGACTGCAGAGCTCTGGTGGAAAGTTCTCCCAGTCTAGCAGTGGGAGGGAGGTTGAGCAGGGTTGAACTGCTCGGCCAGGCGTTCTAGCAAGTTGGTGGCAGAGCTGGGTCTGGGCTTCCTGAGGCTAAGTGTGTAGGTTCATGTGTGGATTACTATCGTAAACTCACCTTGACTATCTCTGGTGCCAAGAGTTGGAACGAAGCAAATTGTGTATGTGTGTGTATGTTTTGTGAGATAAATCAATTCTGCTATAATGTGGTATATGTGTTCTTAAAAATCACTGAATACAAAAACCACAATGAAAAACCTAGGGCTTTGGGGGGAAAGTAGGTGGGGGTGTCACACTCACAGACACTGCTAGTAACTTTTTTTTTTGGTCTTTTTGAGATAGGGTCTCACTATGCAGTTCAGGCTGGTCTTGAGCTCAGTTTGTAGCCTAGGCTGTCCTCGAACCCACAACGATCCTCCTGCCTCAGCCTCTGAGTGCTGGGATTACAGGCATGTGCCACCATGCCTGGCGCTACTGCTAGTAACATTAAAAGCACCAGAAAGTTAGGAACCTCTCGAAGTTTAAGTGGCTCAGAGATACGTAGATACTACAGCAAACGTGACACAAATCAGTGACAAGCCTGTTGTCTGCATGGGCGGGGTGGGAGGCTGAGCCGGTGTATCTTGAGAGGTGCTGGGGGTCTCTGAACCCAGGCAGCCTTGGGAGCAGGCTGGTGGCCAGGGTGGGTCTGTCTTGATGTATGTGCTGTGAGTCCCTGTGTTTCAGTTCAGCTTGTGTTCCTCCCTGTGGACACTGCACATAAGCAGACACGGAGTGTGCACCCTGCCCAGAGCACTGCCTAACTCATCAGTGTGCTGTTATAACACCACTTTTAAAATGAACACTGTAGCAGAACCACCTGTGTGTGTGGTATTTCCTTGTGCACTGCCATGGAGACGGATGGATTGTGTGTGTGCACGAGTGTCACACAATCCATCATTCAGTGACTTTTTTCATTACTTTGTATTAATGTTGCTGTGTGGACAGGTCAGTTTGTATTTGGCAGCATTCTTGTTTATGGAGCTTGTGTTCTCTGCAGGGTTGAATATTAGGAATGTCCTTCTGTGTATTCCCTGTGTGTGGCTGTACTTCTCCAAGGTAGGCACTGGTTTGAGTCACCAGTGGCAGGGGTAAGACTGCCCCATCTTGTATTGCTGGTGCTATCCATTGATCATTTACTAATGAAATTAATAAAAAGCCATGTGATAGGATAGTCACGCATATACCACCTGAGGTTCAAGTTGCCTGGCAGTGAGACTTAGGAAGCATGGCCCCGTTCTGAACATGTTTTTTTTTTTTTTTTTGGTTTTTCTGCGGTACCAGGAACCGAACTCATGACCTTGCGCTTGCCAGGCAGGCGCTTTTGCCGCTGAGCTAAATCCCCAGCCACAAATCATATTTTTTGTTGCTGTTGTTTGTTTTGTTTTTCTTCTGGTACCAGGAATCGAACTCATGACCTTGAGCTTGCCAGGCAGGCACTTTGCCGCTGAGCTAAATCCCCAGCCCTGAACATGTTAAATATTCAGCCAGAGCCCTCAAGTGGACCTCTCACAGGTTACCTACCACAGGGTCAGTGTCTGATTTGAGCACTGGAAAATGAAGTGCTCTGAAGTAGTACTTATGTGAGGCACAAATGGACCTCAGGTGGTGTGGTCAGACGCGTGCCCACTAAAACAGTGTCTGCAGCACCTTCAGGTTGTGTGTGTGTGAAGTGTATGGAACATAAAGGATTCGAATGTTCATACTTGGATTCCATCCCAAAATACCTCATATGTGCGTGCCAGTACAGCGCTCATGAGCAACATACCGGCTCATGCCAGTACAGGTACTTCTTGTTTAACACTTGTACTTAAACCGAAGCATGTTCTTTGGATGTAACGACCCACCCTTTCTTTCTGTGCCGCTCTGTACATCTTGCTGATGGAAACCCAGCGTCTCTTTGCACAGCACACCTTGTTGATACAGCACTGAATTTCTGTGATTGTACAGCACGGTGCTGTGGGTTTACATTCCATTATCCGTCACAGCACTGCATGCAGGGGTTATGTAGATGGAAGGAAGGTGGTCAGGCTGGAGTTTCCTTTGACCGTTTCTCTGTTCTGAACATTGTAATGCACATACTGTGTGCAACTCCACATTTAGTGGCCAGTTCATTTGACTACCTAGACACAGGACCGGAACTCGGTTGTTACACCAGGAATGTCTGTATTCCAAAATCCCAAATCCTCAACACTTCTGGCCCCTGCACTTCAGAAAGTGGCGCTCAGCCTGAAGTGTGGGTGGGGAGCCTGCCCAGCGTGTGCCAGGGGTCTCCCTCCGCTGCTGTGGTCCACACTTCATGGTTCCCAGCATTAATACAAATGTATTTGATTTAATGTGTGAAATGGGTGTGTCACTATGGCATTTATTTGCATTTCCCTGGCTCCTAGTGAGATTATGCAGCTTTTCATGGTTATTGGTATTTCTGTTTTCTTCTAATTGTCCATTTTTTTTTTTTTTTTTTAGAATTGAATCATGGATGGTCTTAGGTATTTGTAATTGCACTTTTTCTTTTCTTTCTTTCTTTTTTTTTTTTTTTTGTTATTTTGAGACAGGGTCTTGATATGCAGTTCAGGGTGGCCTTGAACTCACTTCGAAGCCTAGGCTGGTCTTGAACTTGTAACAGTCCTCCTGTCTTAACCTCTCAAGTGCTGGGATTACAGGTGTGCACCACCATGCCTGGCTTATTTTCAAAGTATTTAAGATTTATGGGAAAGTAGGAGGAGTACTGCCCTTTTGACTAAGCCTGTACGAACCCTCTACAAGCTTGCACTCTTCATCACTAACTTGCCGTGTTTCCAGTCCCTCGCCATTTCTGGATCTCTCACCTCCTGTCTCTCTGTCTTTGTGAATATTATTGAAATGGCTCTGCTTTATGGTTTGGTATTTGCAGACTGCAGAGATGCAGGCTTTCAAACCTTTTTTTTTTTTTTTTTTTCCTTCAGTTTTACTGCTGGCTTTACACATTTTTGCTTAGGCATTTAAAGTCAACTCGTCAGTGCTGCTAAAAGTTCAGTTTGTGTTTTTATAATGATTTCATGTTGAATTTATAGGTTAAGAGGTGTTTTTATGCTTCCTGTGTTCTTCTTTGTTTTGGTATTTTGAGAAAGGGTCTCACTATGTAGCCCAGGCAGGTCTTGAACTCACAGCAATCCTCCTCCCTCAACCTCCTGAGTGCAGGTTTGTGCTCCCTGCCAGGCTCAACTTCCTGTGTTCTTACGCTAATAAGTGAAATGTCTTTTTTGAAAGTATGATTGAAAGCCTTGAAAAGGGTTCTCTTTTACTAATGGTTTTTCTGAGGCAACTCAGCTTTCAGTCTCCCGCATCTCGCTAAGTCTTGACGTCTCCAGTGAGCCAGCTTGATCTCTTATGTCAGTAAGATAAAGAATTCTCTTCCCTTCCTGAGTTCTGGGCCCACGCCCCCACTAATCTGTAGCTTTTGTGTAGATCTAGTTATTTTATTATTGTTAACTTTTTATGTGCATTTGTAAATTGCCTTTTTTCCAAGATTTTAATATGCTTGCATTTAGAGTCACACCAGCGGTTTAAGCTGCTGGTGAGCTTGTGTCTTTGCCTGCCACCCAGTGTGATAGCGATGCCTTTCCTGAGGTGCATGGTGGGAAAGTAAGCAGTTCGTGGTGCTTGACTGAACGTGAGCCACCCAAGCCACCGTCCAGGTCAGGACATGGCTCTTGCTGGCCCCTGAGCATTGACTCAGTGCCTGCGCTTCTAAGGCAAGTGTGGCCCTTGCTTGGCACTGTGGGCAACTCGGTCTTGTTCAGTGTTCATGTGTGTGGGATCATTTAATGTGCAGTCCAGCCCTGGTTCGGGTGGTTTGGGCTCCGTGTCCTGGGCCCTTCTTGGCCTCAGTCCTTCCTCCTGTCTTCAAATGTACACAATGGCCGTACCTGTCCCCTGGGTCCTTTGTGGGCCAGACTGGAGTCAGACACCTGGGAAACACATGACGTGTCGCCCGGCATCACCCCAGTCTGAAGAACCGTGCTGACCTTTGGGGGCCTCTTGGGGCCATGGCCTCTGGGCCTGTCATCTCTTTATAGATCTCTGACATCTCCAGTGTTCCGAGTGGTTAAAACCTTACAAATTTTCATTTAATTTTGGAAAAGTTCTCTAGTAATACTTTTACACATTTGCTAGTTTAGAGAATTACACTGTGTGCTTGATCATTATGTTAAAACTTGAGAATTTTTCCCTTCATTTCTGACACATGTTAATTTTTTTTCAGTCTGGCTAAGGTGAATTGCAGCTTGTAAAATTGATTTTCTTCAAGTGTCTCTGGATACAGGAGCTGTGTAATTCATTTCATAGTGTGTAGTGTATAGGATATCTGACATTTCTGACACATGTTAATTTTTTTTTTCAGTCTGGCTAAGGTGAATTGCAACTTATAAAATTGAATTTTTCAAGTGTCTCTGGATACAGGAGCTGTGTAATTCATTTCATAGTATGTAGTTTATGGGATATCTGAACAGGAAGTGCCACTTTCCATAATCAAAAGAAAGTAAAATATCAATCAAGAGACAGAAATTGTGCTGGAGAGCCCTGTGATGGGGGAGAGGCCCCCACAGTCCACAGTGGGGTTCGGGGGAAGCAGAGAACAGTGGCTGTGGAGGGACGAGGGCAGTCACCCAGGACCGGGAGAGAAAAGGAGGAAGGAGGGCAGCAGTGCTCAGGTGTCCTGTGGCACCAGGTCGGGAGTAAAAGGGTTATAAGAGCAGGAAATCTAATCTGCACGTCCGTCGGCCTCAGCACACTCCAGAGTAGCATGAATGCAGAGACCCATGAGAGACAGTGAGCCGCGTAGAGCCAAAGCCAGAGAAATGATCAGTGCAGCAGCGGGAGACACACGAGAGACCAGCGGCTTCTCCTTATGGGGAACCGCAGAGCAAAGGTGGTGGCACGCAGGCTGGGGTGGCGGAGGAAAGACTCAGTGGGATCCAGAACTCTGTGAAGATCTCCAGATAAATAAAACCAGAGAGAGTTCCTGGAAGTGCATGAACTACCAAAACCCATCCGCAAAGAAATGGAAAATCTGCATTGACCTGCACAGGTAGAGATTGAATCCATAATTGAGAAACTTCAGTGAAGAACAGCTCGCAACCAGATGGCTGCTCTGGTGAATGCGAACAAAGTATTTAAAGAATTAACACCAGTTCTTCAAAACTCTTCAAGCAATAGAACAGGGAGGGCCTCGTTTTATGAGGCCACCAAAGAACCATACAAACTGTATGCTGCTGTCTATATGCTTACAGATACAAAATCCTAGGTAACAAAAGTACTAGGAAACAGTTCCACCTCATGGAAAGGATTGTACTCCAGCCATGGCCAGGAGGGTTTGCCATTCAGTAACAAGAAAGCTGTTAATGTAACACACCATGACAAAACAAGGGAGAAGGCGTACAACCCATGAGGTTGATGCTGGATAAGCATTTGATGAGATTCAGCACCTTCTCCTGATAAAAGCACTCAGATGTAGAAAGGAACTTAGGTGTGAAGGGTACCCTGAAGCTCTGGAACTGAGGGTCGCACGGCATTGGCGAGAGGTGGCCAGGCGGCCTGCTTTGGACATGTCCCTGCTCCTAGTCTGTGCTGTTAGGGAGCCCTAGGCAGGACTGAAGCAGCAGAGCATCCAGATTCGGGAGCAGGAGGACAACAGTGTGATCTTGGGTCAAAACTGTAACTAACACACACATAGATACAGGAGGGTAAAGGGAGACACCTGCGTCTAACAAATAGGTTTACCAGAGAGCAGGGCACAAGACCAGTCAAAAAAGCCAGCGATGTTTCTATACCCTGCCAGCGAGGGAGTCACGTATAAAATTAGGGAGACAGCGCTGGTCACGCTGGCATCAGAACAAGTGACATGTTAGGGCTGCCAAACGGAACCAAGGAAGCAGGCCTTGTCCCCGGGAGGCACTGACCTTGGTGAGTTCACCCGTGCGTGACCTTTGTGGCAGAGACCTGACCTGGTTGCCGTCCCGTGCGGTCACTCTGGCGTGTCCCCAGGTGTGTCTGTGGGGGACTCACACGGCCTACAGGGTAGCAGAGTCGAAGTGGCCTTCTGGGTCTGTGCCTCTGCGTCTGACTCCGAGAAACAAAGTTGTTGCTCAAAAGTCCTCGCTTCCAGCCTGTTTCCAGTCGGGAGTTGGTGTCTGCTGGCAGTTAACGAGAAATCACAGCACAGGGATGTGTTTTCTCCCTCGGTTCCCTCTGAGTTTGACAGAACAGTGACTGTGAAAGGGCCTTGAGTGGAAAAATAAACGCTCACCGCAGCGTTTGAAATATTTCAGTGGTGAAATAAACGCTCACTGCAGCTCCGTTCTGACCTGGGCTTTCCCCCCGTCACTGTGTTTTTCGTGGAATTCATTCTGTTCTAAGGGGCCCCGCTCTTTGTGCTCGCACTGCTGTCTGCTGGTGGAGCCACTGCCAGTGCCGCGGACTCTGAGGACAACTGCTGGAGGGTCTCTTACTATGGTTCCAATTAAATTTTCCTATTGTTCACACTGATAGAGATCCAGCTGCAGTCCAGCCATTGATGAATCGGCGTGTTGTCTATAAAAACCGACTCTTCTATTTAAGTGAATAACAGACAGATACAATTTATATGCAATTAATCTAATCTGTTGAATGGCCAGCTATAGAGCAGTTCAGCACTGTGATTGGCTAACCTTGGAGACAATTTACAGAGGGCTTATAATGGATTTTAGTTTTTATCTGAGGTAATTTAAGTGTATGTTAAAGTGATGATAATCTCCTTAGAGTAAAACTGTTTATCTCTCTAAGCAGTCATTAGTTATGTGTTTTAAATTAGGGAGGTAATGTAAATTTAAAACGTCTAAAGTAGATCAGTTAATGCTTTGGTCATTGAAATTGATAGTAAAGGTAAATTTTAGTTGAAAATAAGTGTAGCACTCCCATCTGCATTCATAAAAATGTTGGTTTGTATTTATGTGCCTAATTACAAAGGAGAGAGGATGTACAGAATTGATACTACCTTACCTTGGCTTCATTCAAATTGTTTCTCTAAATACCTTCCCTAGTAAATTTCTGTGAAAGAAGAAGAAAAATACATTTTTTAGTTAATTACTCTGTGAAAATTATGTTATTAAAAACATTGGTAGCATGTTTAGTATTTGGCTGTTACTGATTCTTTTACTAAACGATAATTTTTTCTGATGTAAAAATATTTGTACAATTTAAACTTTTTGATTATATAAACATACAGAAGAGAAAATTGTCAGGAATCTCATCATGGACAGATAATATTTATGTGCATGCCCATTTTTAATTATGTGTGTATGTATCCTATTTCATAATGTTTGTTTTTTTTTCATTGAAACAAACAATATTATTTCTTGACATTAAATACTATCCTTCTATATCAAGGTTTCTTAAAAGACTTTACAACCTCCAGAATAGGGCATCACAAATGCTTGTGAATGTGTGATTTTTTTTTTTTTTCCTGAAAATATATGTGTTTCCTCAGAATCTGTTAGTCAACAGAAAACTTTTTTTTTGTTGTTTTTTTTTTGAGAAAGTATGTTGTTATGCAGTTCAGGCTGGCCTTGAGCTCACTTTGTAGCCCAGGCTGGTCTCAAACTCACAAAGATCCTCCTCCCTCACCTTCTTGACTGCTAGGATTACAGGTGTGTGTCAGCACCTCCGTGGGTGGTATTTCCCATTTCTTGCTCTTTTTTTTTTTTTTTTTTTTTTTTTTTGGTACCGGTGCTCAAACTCGGGCCCTTGTGCTTGTCAGGCAGGCTCTTACGCCGCTGAGCTATATCCCCAGCAAGAAATTGCTCTATGGGGGTCTCTTCTTCTGGGTTTAGTTTTGGTCATTTATGTTTTGCTGGGAAATCAGTAGTTTTGTAATTGCTGAAATACTTTAAACATTCTTGGAGCCATCTTGCGCTACGACCACGTCTGGTTAGGTGGGTGTCACCCCTGCTGCTGATCTAGGGTCATAGGCACTTGTGGCGAGCTTTGACTTAGGTGGACTCCCTGGTCTGGGGTGCGAGGCTGCTGTCCATTCTGCCCTGGGCTTCTGGTCCTGAGTGCTGGGGTTGGGGTCCCACAGCTGTGTCTCCCTTGGAGGAGGCCTGGGTGCCTTGGTGGAGTGGCTGGTTCTGGAGATGAGGTGAGCTGGAGCCCTTAAGTACCAGGAAGTGAGGAGGAGCCCTGGCCATCCGTAGAGAGACCTCGGAGCAGCTCGCAGAGCTCCCAGTTGCTGGAAGGGGAGGTGGCACAAGGATGGCAATGGGGCTCAGACTCCGGGGCACCTTCACCATGACAGGCGCCGTGGGAAGAGGGCAAGGACGGGGCTTGCTGGGGCTCTGTAGGACTCTGTGACAGTGACCAAGGGCCAGAGTCCTGAATGGGATGTGGTGGGCACAGTGCTGGAATGTGGTAGGAGCATTTTTGTGGCCCAGAAATGGGGCCATTATCCGGCAAGGCCAGAAGCTAGGGAGGAAAGCAGATGTTTATGTAACAGGGAAATGGGGCAAAACAAACAAGCCCAGAATGTAGGGTAAACAATGGCTGATGATTAGCTTAGGAAAGTTAAATTTGTAACGATGTGTAAGTGGTCACCGTCCCTAGTTACAAAGAACGTGTAGTGTAAGAAAGTGACAAAATCAATAGAAAGATGGGTCAAGGGCACTACAAATTCACAGGAAAAGTGGAAGGCAACAGTTATGAGCTATGCACAGGTTCATTTACAGTCTAGGAAATGATGCAGGGCAGCTGATTTCACCTGGCCACCTGGCAAAACCTGAACCTGGTGAAGCTGTGGGGTCAGGGTGCTGCCGGTTGGCCAGCCAGCTGCTGTCTGTTAGGCCGTGTGAAAAGGCAGGCTTGCATGTCCACCCAGCTTAAAGTGACCTTGCTTCGCAGTTCTGCCTTTAGACACATGCTGATGGAAATGACAGGACGGGCATGAGGGCGTGGGACTGAAATGAAGATGACCTGAGTGCCGTGGAGGCAGATAACCTGGAGCAACAGCAGTCGACTTTTCTCCTTGCCAGTTAGGGGTCTTTCTGATGCTGGTGGTTGGTGCTGGGGAGGGCAGAGGGTGCTGCATCTCACACAAGGGAGAAGATTCTTGATCCTGGGGGTTCCCAGGAGAGCCACAAAGGGAAGCTCAGTGCTGACAGTGCCGCGCGGCCTGCTGCTGCTAGCCGTTGCCTGTGTGTGCGCCCCTGGGTTCTCCAGGGGCAGTCTGAATCTGGGTCTGCTGGTGAGCACAGTACCTGGGCCTAGGCACCTCTCTGTGCCCTGCACTGGAGCTCTGTGGAGTAGAGGGTAGGCAAGCCCCAGAGAGGCGTAGCTGAGTGTAGGGCGGGTGACAGGGGACCTGGGGGCAGCACTCAGCTCCTGGTCTGTGGATTACCAAGGTAGAAGCCCTCAGCTGTGCAACTTCCGTGCTTGCTTGGCAGAGGCTGAATTGAGCTTCAACTCATAATGAGGCTCCTGAGTTGTCAAGAAAAAGCATGGTTTGGTTTTGTTATACTTTGATCTTAAAAGTCTAGGAAACGTAATTCAACTTAGATTTCTGTCCAGTGTGCTTAACTGTCTGGAATAACGTGTTCTTTGATGGTGTTCTTAGCCACTGTATCACACTGCTGTTAATAATGCACTTTTGTTTTCAGTTTTTTGTAGCATCAGATCCAACAGTTAAAACTGATCGACTGTGGCATGACAAGTATACTTTGAGGAAATCCATGATTCCTTCTTTTATGACAATGGATCAATCTAGGAAGGTAGGGTTAGAAGAGAATTCTGTAATTTTGATGCTGTATTGCTCCATTTATTTGGATTATGTGACAAAGCTAATGTTCAGTCAGGTAAATTCTTTGCATTCTAGGGTCATTCATTGTGAGGTGATGTGTGTTAGCTGGGTGCAGCAGCGTGCCGACACATTTGTAACGTATGTTCTGAGTTTGAGAGCTCGCCTATAGCCAATTTGTAACGTTTGTAGAATATTTGTAGTATTTGATGACCATTTAAACTTTATATAAGGTAATTGTAGGTTATTTTTCATTTCAGGTGCTTTTGATAGGAAAATCAATAAATTTTTTGCATCAAGTTTGTCACGATCAGATGCCCACTACAAAAATGATAGCTGTGACCAAGTCTGCAGAGTCGCCCCAAGATGGTACGTGGTTGATGATGAGGAGGACGGTGGAGGGGATGATGATGGGGGTGGGGATGAGGATGATGATGGCCATGGGGATGGTGATGGTGACCATGGGGATAATGGTGATTATGGTGATTTGGGATGATAATGTGATTGGAATGATGATTGAAGTGATAGTGGTGATGGTGGTGGTGATAATGGTGATTTTATATATATATATGTGTGTGTATATACACACACACAGTTTAAAATATATAGAATTTATGGTTTATCTGAGTCATTAAGATACTGTCACACACAGTATGATATATATATATATATTAACAAACACACATATATACTTTATGAATGTTTAATACCTTTTACACAGAGCAGGTAGTAGGTAGGTAGGTATTGGAATAGGTATAGCTGGTCTATCCTGTTAGTGGTTTGTCATACTATTTTTTCTAACTGCAAAGTGACGTGTGCCAGAATAAGAAATGGGTAAATGTTGCCAGTGGCAGCCACACTTTGGGACTCCGGACTCACTAGGAAAGCAGAGCTTTAACAGAGTGTGTTATGTTAGAGCATTGGTTTAAGTTCCATCTGCACTAGAGTCTTGTGGTTCCTCCTTCAGTTGCTGTTCCTTTCTCACATTTCCTCTCTTGCTGCCTGCCCTGACTTCAGTTGTCTCACTGTATTTTTTGTGGCTAACTAATTTGTCTGGCTTTCTAGTCCTGGCTGTATTTGCTATTTATGTTGCTATCTCGATTCATTCAGAGAGTTCACTTTGCTTGAGACACTGTATTGGGAATGGTGTTCAGAGTGAGTCCGAGAGTCAGGGCTGTGCCCTTGGGATTGTGGAGTGCTGTGGTCTCATAAACACTGCGCTTATAGCAGAATTTTCCACAGCCTCTGGGCTTGCTCCTAGAGTAGGAGATGGGATCCAAATAAGGCTTTAGGAGAGATGCTCACTTTGAAGAGGTAGGAGGAGGAAGAGCCAGGAGAGCATTTGTGTTAATTGACCTCTCCATAGTGTGTAGAGAGGATTTTGTAGTGAGGGTTTATAAGGGAATAATTTTAATAGAGGAAACGTCATTTATAGGATTATTTTATAATAGTCACCCAAAGAGTCAAATGCTGAAGAGTGCAACCAATCTGTGGGCCTGGATCCCACGGCAGTATCCTGCATGTGGTAGATTGACATCTGGTGGTCAACTTGTAACACCCAGCTGAACTGAACCAGCGTGGTGTGCTGGGTGTGGGAGGCTCATCTGAGGATTGTTGCTGGCAGCATAAGAGGCAGAACTGGAGAAGGAAAAAAGGCTGTTGGGAACTATTTGTGCTGTTGAGAGCTGTTGATTCTCTTGGAGGACCTTGTCATGCTGGCTTTCCTGATGAACTTGGTTGTTTTCATCCTCAGAGGAGCACAGGACCTTGTCACTGAGAATGGCTTTGGTTCACTTTGCAGGAGCTCTGGTCCTCACTTTGAGTGTTGCCTGCTGGCTCTGGAGGGGAAAGATGGTATACTCCTCAGTCTCCTAGAGAAGCTTGTTGCATTGGCTTTCCTGATGGGAACTTGGCTTTCCTCATCATCAGAGGAGCTTGGGACCTCACTGTTGCTGAGGATGGCTGTGGTACTTTCCAGGAGAGCTCTGGTTCTTTGAACATTGCTTACTGGCTTGAGTGCAGATCCCTCAGCCAGCTGGCACAGATCCTTCATCCCACTGGCACAGACTTTCTAGTTTCCACCACTGACCTTTGGACCTTTCCAGCACAGATCCATGAAACAGGCCTGCATGAGACACTGTCATGGACTCTAGGCCTCCAGTTGGACTCGTGGGTGGCATTGTTATGGGCTCGAGGTCTTCAGCTGGACTCATGCAGGACATTATTATGGGATCCAGGTCCTCAGCTGAATTCCTTGGTCTTTAGACAAAATCTGTCTGTGGGCAGATTTCCTGCACTTTTTGTATATGACTCTTTTGGTGACTATTATAAAATAGTCGTATAAATTAAGTGTCCCGTATTGTATTGTTTTCCCTTGCAAATCCAAGTACAACACTGGATGAGTCTAGTTGAAGACTTACAACCATGGGAATGTCCTCCGTGAGTCCTGCTGGAGGCCCAGAGCCCATGATAATATCTCGTGGAAGTCTGTATTAAGGATCTGCATTGGGAAGGCCCAAGGGTCAGTAGTGGAAGCTAGGAAGTCTGCACCAATGGGAGGAAGGATCTGTGCCAGCAGGCTGAGGGATCTGCACTGAGACCAGGGAACAACGCTCAAGGTAAGGACCAGAGTTCCTTCAAAGAGAACTGTAGCACCCATCTTCAGCAACAGTGAGGGCCGGAGCTCCTCCAGTGATGAGAACAGCTGAGTTCATATCAGGAAAACCAATGGGACAAGATTCTCCAGGAGAATCAACAGCACACCATCTTTCCCTTCAGTTCGCTTTTTATGATGTTGGTAGCAATCCTCTGCTGGGCCTTCCACCCCCAGAACCACAGTTGTAGTACACAGTTCAGCTGGGAGTTACAAGTTGACCATTAGTTAATCCACCACAGAGGGGAGAGGTGTGGATGGAGTCTGAGGGAGGCATCCCCAGGGGATGGGTGGAGGCCACTGCTGCCATTGAATTTTGGCCACTGCTATTGTGCATGCCAGGGTTACTCCCCTACTGCAGTTACTGCTTTACAGCTCTTGCTGCTCGTTACTCTTCTACTACTGTTACTGCTCTGTTGCTGTTACTATCTACGCTGTTATTACTGTGCTATTGTTACTATTGCTGTTCACATTCTACTGCTGTTATTCTATGCTATTGCTATTTTACTGTTGTTACCACTCTATTGCTGTTATTGCTCTATGCTATTACTTTTCTACTGCTGTTACTACTCTGCTGATATTCTCCTGCTGTTATTGCTCTATTGCTGTTATTACTCTGCACATTACTATTCTACTCTTACTATTCTGCTGTTATTACTACTGCTCTTACTATATTGCTGTTACTGCCATAGTACTGTTACTACTCTTTTGCTGTTACCACTCCATGCTGTTGTTACTCTACTGCTGTTATTACTCTGTGCTGCTTTTGCTGTGCTATTACTACTTATATTATTACTCTATTGTTACTATGTTATTACTCTACACTGTTATTACTACTGCTGTTATTATTGTACTGTATTTCCTGCGGTTACTCTGCTATTGCTGTTGTCACTACTGCTGCTAATGCTGTTAGTACTACTGCTGTGCTGTTACTCTACAGTAGAGTGCTATTCTGTTGTCACTACTGCTGCTATTACTCTATTATGCTGTTGTTGCTACTGCTATTACTCTGCTACTGTTGTTAATTACTCTACTCCTGCCACTGTTGCTGCTGTTGCCCTACTGCTGTGTCTCCATTACTTTTTTGTTGGTGACTACTCCCGCAGCCCCCTCAGTCCTCTGCTATAACCAGTGTCTGTGGAAAATGAGGTTTCTGCTGCTCTGTAGTGTAGTGGGAGGGTAAAGGTACAAACCTCAAAAGACTACTAATAATACAAAGCAGTGATGTCAAATGCACATTCATCTGTGCAGAACAGGGAAATGCGAGGAGCTGGTGCCGAAGGGTGCTGAAACCAGGAATGGAGCGCATGAGAGGCTACTCTGGGCTGAAACTGGTTAATATTTAAGCTTTCTTCATATTCAAAGAGTGTAATGGCTCCAGTGATAAAGACATTCCTAGGGAAAGTATTTACATTCTTACCGCAATGTAGCTCAACAGGAGTAAAGCCCAGGGCCCTTGAAAGAGGACCACAGCGAGCCTGGGGTGGCCCCACATGCGCTGGCCACAGACCTCACGAGACGCGGTCTTTCAGGGACCCAGGAATGGCAGCAGTATTAAAGCTGACCAAGTGCCTCAACTGGCCTCATCTGGAGGACATAGACTCTTCCTATGTCCTGGTCCCTTCACATTGGTTTACTCAGGTTGTGGAAGGAGGTTCAAGTTGGAACCAAAGCTTTGCCTTTGATATGCCAGTGTAACCTTGAGCAAGTATTTTACCTTTCTTCATCTTAGATTGTGCCTCCACATTGGCATTACTTTCTAGCTCGTTACTGTGCTTTTTAAGTAAAATACAATGTTTCAGATATGTTTTATAAACGGATTAGAGTGGCACAGCTGTAAATTAGCATTATAAAAGCTCTATTATATCTGTAGTCTCTACATTGTTTCTTTTCAGTAGAAAGCTATGGAAACACTTTTTTTCTGCTACCTCCTCAGAACTAGGCTTCTGTGTTGTCTGGTTCAACTGCCTGGACAGTCTCCAGTGATGATCCAACCGGGAGTTCACTCTGGGATGCCGAGCTGGGCCGTGTAACTGTCACACCCAGCCTACATGGAGCTGTACAGCGTGGAGCTCACGCACACTGGTGGGGTGGGTCTCAGGACAGGTTTTGACAAGTGTCCTGGGGTGACTCTCAGTCCTGTGCCTACTAAGTGCGTGTTAGTGAGACTCGCGCTGGTCCTGGTAGACAGGGATCCTTCAAATCATGAGCAGCCCCATGGCCGTTTCCCTGTGGACCTGACTATTAAGCTGCTGTCTGTCCTGCTGGATATCAGTGTGCTGGTTTGTGGTCTCAGGACTGTGCTGCCCTCGCTGACCGTGCAGCTGTGGGTGGCCAGGAGGGGTCTGCTGTGGACACTGCTGGTGGGTTATAGGCTGCTGGCATTGCGTGCTTCCCTGTCCTGTGTAAATACATATTATATATGTATGCATGCTTTTCCCTTTTGTTCTTTACAGCTGCGGATTTATTCACAGATTTAGAAAATGCATTTCAAGGGAAAATTGATGCTGCTTATTTTGAGACCAGCAAATATCTACTAGATGTTCTCAATAAGAAGTACAGCTTGCTGGACCACATGCAGGCGATGAGGCGGTACTTGCTTCTTGGTCAAGGAGACTTTATCAGGCACTTGATGGATTTGCTGAAGTAAGAAAGTGCAACTGTTTTGATTTTTATAAAATATGCAATGCTTTTAACATAAAAGGTTCTGACCAATTCTGTTAGAAGAATCAGTGGTGTCAGGGGGAATGAGTTGAATTCTTAGCATATGTATAAAGCAAAATCTACAAAGATAAAATCATGACATTTTCACAGTTGAGGTCCTTTTTTTTGCTCTGGTCCTCAGCAGGCACCAGCCCTGTGCTGTCCTTTGTCCATGAGAGACCCTGTGTCCTTGTCCTTAGGAGGGTTGTGGCATAGACAGTGACACAGTCCAAGGAGTCTGGAGTGACCACAGTCAGCTTTGGCTCTAGTGTGAAATTAACCAGGAATATGCACTGTACTTTGAGCTTTTATCACCCCTGTTTAGTTAATGTCACTTTCTGTAGCAGAACGAGACCACGGCCCTATGCTCTGCCTTTTCCTGGTATCCTTTGCAGAGTCCCCATTGGTCCTCCTCCCTCTCCAGGGATAGGCTTTGGGCTGAGTGCAGGCTAGCACTTGCTGCCGCTGGCTGACGAGGTGGCCGTGTACTCACAGCGTGGCAGGGCCTTACACTCATTTGTTCATGCTGAGAACAGCAACTTTGCAGTTTTGTTGTCCCTGGGACTTAAGGTAGTGAGCCTGAGTCTTTTAAGTTCTTCCTGTGCTAATCCAGTACTTGTTCTGGCCCTGTGGTCTTGAGCTTTGGCACACGCATCCTCAGTGAAGTGCCTGAAAAGGCTCTCTGTGCCATTCTGGCCGAAGATCTGGGCAGAGCTGAGGAGTATGTAGGGTGCTGGTGCAAGTGCTGCCAATGCTGGCCTGAGAGAAGGCCAGAAAGACACAAGGTGGGGTGGCTGGGGCAGAGGGCTGCACCCTGAGGCCCTCTCTCAGGCACGTGAGTGCTGACCAGAGTGAGAGAGGATTCCCGGCAGTAACTGACCCTGCCCACTCAGGAGCGAGCTTGTGAGTGGCAGTGGGACCACTGAGTAACATTTCCCACCTGAGTAGATGAGGTCTTGCTGCAGAGCTGGATGCCGGGTGGTCTGGAGTGTGCATGGAGATGCCTGGCCTGAGTGGGGAGCAGCTGGGGGCTTAGGGCCTGTGGGAGGGGCAGAGTGGAGAGGGCTGGCAGCGTTGTGGGGCCTCACTGGCTTTGTAATACGTGTGCCTTGGGCTGGAGCTGGGTGTGTCCATTCTCCTGAGGTACATTCTCCTGAGGTGTAGTTTGTTTATTCTGAAGGCTATTTTGAGGGCCCACCTTCCAAAGCTAGTCTGGTCACTGTGATGTGTGCGTGCCTAGGATTGCTTTGAGGACAGCAGTCTTTCTCATGTCTTTCTGGCCTTGTCTCAGGCCAGAATTGGCAGTGCTTGTGCAGACACCCAGGGTGGGGCGTGGGGAATGGGGTGTTGGTCAGCTGTGAACACCCCCTATAGGTGCAGCAGCCTGCAGAGCTGGGCATACCCTGGTCCCTTGGGATGGAGATATCTGTGTCTTGGTTCCATTGGTGAAGACCTCTCCTTCCCTTGGGCCTCTGTAGGAAATCACAGTGACTCTTGCTCCTCATAGACCAGATTTAGGTTTTAAAACTTGACTCACTAACATGCGTAGTGTATCTGAGTACTTTCAGTTTAACCTGACTAAAAAGTAACATTGAGAGGTTTTATTTTATTTTTAATTTTATTCATTTATTTTTGGATTTTTTGAGATAGGGTTTCACTGTGCAGATCAGGCTGACCTTGAACTTACTATGTCGCCCAGGCTGGCCTCAAACTCACGATCCTCCTGCTTTAGCCTCCCAAATGCTGGGATTATAGGCATGTGCCCCCATGCCTGGCTTGAAGTTTTATAGAAATGTTTTATACCCTAAATAATTGGTGCCCTGTGTACAGTTAATACCATGGGTCCTTCATTGTCATATTGTGTCGGTCCCGTTTGTCTTTTCAGTTTTTGTCATTTGAATTCTAAATTTTTCTACAGTTCATTAAAAGTTCAAATAACAATGTTTAAAAATTTTTTAAAAAATTTGTTAAGACCAGAACTTGTCCGTCCAGCAACGACTCTGTATCAGCATAACCTGACCGGGATCCTTGAAACTGCCGTCAGAGCCACCAACGCACAGTTCGACAGCCCCGAGATCCTGAGGAGGCTGGACGTGCGGCTGCTGGAGGTAGGCTGGGTGCAGGATAGCGCCTCAGCACACGGGCCCAGTCTCTTCTGGAACCTGGCCTCTGGGGTGCCCTGCCCTGCAGTGTGTGTCCCTGGAGAGCCTGGCAGGTCCCCCTTTCCTGCAGAAGGGGTGCTCTGGGCTACCGAGCTCAGCTTCCCTGGATAGGCCGGGTGCTCAGGACCTCTGTTGCACAGAGTGAGTATGGTAGTCTTGGTAGAGATACTGCTCACCAGGGCATGTGCGTGCTTGGCATCAGTGTGGCGGGATATAACACGAACCTGTTTGCTGAGCTGGGCTGAGGGTCGTTAGAGAAAACTGTCGGCCTCCTTTTCTCCCTTCCTGTCTCCCTCCTTGAGAAGTGTCCCATTATGTAGCCCAGGCTGGCCTTGAACTCATACCCTCCTCTTCAGCCTCCAGAGTGCTGGGATTACAGGTGTGCACTGCCACACCCTGTTTGGATTTTTAAAAATACCAACTTTTAGAGATTTGGAACGCATTACGAGGCAATGGGTTTTGTGTGTCATAAAAGTGGTGGTGAGTTTTGAGCATATTTTTAGTATTCATTGAAAAGCATGCTGTTCGTTTCATCCTGAGTATTGGTGGTATGCTGCCATGTGCCATCATGGTCCAGTGCCGAGGGTACCAGGTTGATAGAAGGAATTCCTTGTTCTCACAGAGCTAAACGTTCTCGCAGTGAAGAGGTTTGTTTATTCCCAGGCTGTGTATCAAGGGCCCACCTTTTAGAGGGAGCGTGGGCACGCGGGCCTTACGTTGCTGCCTTCCTTCCAAGGAGTCACGGTGCTCGTGCCAAGCTCAGCCTCCGATTATTTGTTTTGCCATCAGGTCTCGCCGGGAGATACGGGGTGGGATGTCTTCAGCCTGGATTACCACGTCGATGGCCCGATCGCCACGGTGAGGCCCCTGTGCACGCGCGTGGACCTCAGCTGTAGGCGCTGAGCATTCTGTTGTTGGAAATGGTGTTCTTCTCGAAGAACTTCTGATTACAGTTACCATGGCATCGAGGCTGTAGCCACTGAATGAACACTTAAGCCAAAATTGTGTGTGTTTTAAATAATTATTAATGAGTGCTGAAATGCTCTATTATTTTAATAAGTCTTAAAAATATCATTTGTTCCATCGTAGGTTTCAGCGAGTACTTAATAAATGGATTGTTCATTTTGTTCCATTATTCTTAGACTGTAGCAACTAATTTAGGATAATTTGAAAGGAACTGTAAAGTGTGTTTAGGGGGATCGTATTTTTACTGCTTAGATAAAATTTGATATTTGGTATTCATTTAAACTGATGAGAAAATAGCTGTACCATTGTTCATAGTGCTTTTACCGCATGAGAAGGAAAGTACCGTTTCTTTTCACAGTTACCCAATCATAAAAGGTCGGCCAGCCGTAGTGCCGTCTTACGTGTCTGCAATTAAGGTGCCTCTTTCTGCGGCTCCTTTCTTTATTCAGGCCTGAATGAATTCTCCTTGACCACAGTGTATCTTCAAACTTACTTCAGTCTTTTGTATAGCTCAAATACTGAGGAGAACATTGCATTTTTTTAATTATCGGGGAAAATGTTCTGTTAAGCAGCAACCTAGCTTGGCTTTCATCCTCTTAGTGGTTCTTGATCATTTGTGTAAGTCACACCCCGACTATGGAGTGTGAGTCTGAGCCGTGGTCTGTTGCCCCCATTAGAATAGTGTAACTGAGTTCACACCACAGCTCTGCCCTCCCCCCGGTAGTGTGACTGAGTCCGTGCCCACAGCTCTGCCCTCCCCCCGGTAGTGTGACTGAGTCCGTGCCCACAGCTCTGCCCTCCCCCCGGTAGTGTGACTGAATCCGTGCCCACAGCTCTGCCCTCCCCCCGGTAGTGTGACTGAGTCCGTGCCCACAGCTCTGCCCTACACCCTGGGTAGTGTACTGAGTTTGAGCCAGAGGTCACCCCTCTGCCCTGTAATGTGCCTGAGTCCGTGCTCACAGGTCCGCTTCTCCCACTTAGGTAGTGGGGCTGAGTCTGTGGCCTCACGTCTGCTCCACCTCCCCAGTAATGCGACTGAGCCTGTGCCAGCAGGTCTGCTGCAGCCCCGCCCCCCCGTAGCGTGACTGAGTCCATGCCCACAGGTCTGCCCCGCCACTTGGGTAGTATGCCTGAGTCCGTCCCAGTCTGCCCCCAGAGGTGTGTACGTGCTGGGGATGGTCGCTGTGCGTGGTGTCTTTCATGAGGTCCCTGCACTCCCAGTGTCAGTGCACAGCTGCCCTTAGTGGTGGCTGCAGGTCTGTCCACATGAGCCTCTTCTCCTTGGTCCTCACCCTTAGTGGCTTTCAGTGGTCATGAGGTCCAAGGCATGCAGCTTGCACTGGGAGACTTCTCTGTCATGTGAGTATTAGTCTGCACAATCCCCTTACTGTCATAGTGTGGAAGAGACCAGAGTAGAGCTGGGTGTGGTGCAGTACCAAGTGCAAGGCCCTGGCTTCCGTCCCCAGTGCCCAAACAGAAGCAAAACCCAGAATGCCATGGGAAAGGTAATCACAGTGATTGTTCACACAGTAGAACATGTAGATGTACAGCGACCTGATTATCTTATAACACTATACACTATACTAGGATTGTCAGTTGTACATTGTGTGCCGTGTACCTTTCATTTGCTCATGCAGTATTATTAAAATTTACATGTTTTAAAGTTCTAGTAGAAAAGCAGTTTATATTATAGGTTTAAAAACATCTATAAAGCTGGGCTTGGTGGCATACGCCTGTAATCCCAGTATGTGGAGGCTGAGGCAGGAGGATTGCTGTGAACTCAAGACCAGTCTGAAGTGCATAGTGACACCCTGTTCACAAAAGAAACAAAATAAAATGAAGACGTCTCTGACAGCCCTGTGGGCCACAGCTGCCAATTTGTTTGCTTACCCAACTGGCTAGTGGCAGAAACCCTGGCTTCTGGAGAAAGAAAGAGGCGCAGGGGCCTAGGCAGGTGGGCACTGCCAGGGTCATGGAGTACAGCTCCCTGCATGCCACTCCAGTCTGCAGTTAGCAGCGCCTTGTGCTTGGTACATTAGAGCTAAATCGTCCCACCACAGCCATGCGATGAGCGCCCAGGTCACGGTGAGAAGCGGTAGTGGTTTTATCAGAGGTCACGCTGTGTGCAGTTGTGCACAGAGGCTGCGAGAAAGGCAGGACGGGCCAGCGGAGGTGCCTCCCGCCACGGCTCGGGAGAGGGTGGCTCTGCGAGTGCAGCTCCACTCCTGGTGGCCTCTGCCTTCTTTCTGTCCTCCTTGGTTGTGGTTGTCATTTTTATGCAGAATTACAGTGGGTTTGTATGGTTCATGCAAATTCTGTGATATAAAATATCAGTGAAACTTTCTGATAGGTCTGAATTTGGGAAATTAATCTGTGACATCAAAGCTCCAGTTGTTAAAAATACTTGCCAGATGTAGTCATTACGTGATTAAGACATTTCTGGTCCATCTTGTTTTTCATGAATCTTACGTGATTTGAGCAGCGATTGCCTTTTATGAACGTTGGGGTCACTGGTGTGGGTGGCAGCTGCGGGTGCCCTGGGCCTGGTGGGCTTGAGGTGCTGGTGGGTGGCGAGGCCGAGGTGGGCAAGACGGTGTGACGTGGCCTCTGAGGACGCTCCATGAATGCCAAGGCCCCTCCCTTGAGGGTCAGAGGCTGAGTCAGTACTACCCTGAACTTGATTCCACAGGGAGGCGATCTGGCAGAGCGTGCAGGGAGCGCACACGTAGGTGAACAGTGTTTCACCACAGATGCCACAGAGTGTGATCGTCTTCCCCTCAGTTAATATCCTGAAGGGTTTGAGTAAATGAAACTTTAAAAAATTAAATAATTTTAGTTGTGCTACAAGAGCCACTGCTTAAAGAGCCCTAACCTGTTACGTATCTTTTGTGTAGTGGAGAGTCCTTTGGTTCACCAGCCTTACCTAAACTAGACGTCTTCAGTTTCTCTGATCACAAGACTGATGATAGTGTAGGCGGCACACTGAAATGGGTGGTTTCCACACACTGGTGTTTGATTTTGCAGTACATTCAAAGCTGCTTCCAGATGGCCCTGTTTAGAACTCTATCTCCCCTCAGTGCTGCGCCCCCCGCCAGGCCCTGGCACTTAGGCAGTGCTGTGGAGTAGCTGGACAGATTGTTGACCCTGGCTTCCAGGGCAGCGGGCGGGGACAGGGCTGAGAGGGCAGGGTGCAGTGACTTGAGCAGTGGTGCTCTGCATGACTGACTCTGTGTGGGTCACATAGAGGAGGGCCTGAGCACAGTGCAGACAAGGTGAGTGAGGGAGCACCCTTCAGAGCAGAGCAGAGAGCGAGGCTGAGGGGCGTCTGTCCAGGTGCTGTGGTGTGACGGATGTCAGTGGCAGCCAGTGCACCCTCTGCCCTGGCTCCGGTGGAAGGCGGCTTGTGCCCAAGTCTGCCAAGCCCACATTTGTGCTGGTTTGCAGAACATTGTCCTGTTTGTGTATGATGCACACCCAGGCTAAACAGTTACTTTGGATGTCCCTGACGTTCACATCTGGCTGCCTGAGGGTGCACCGGAAGGGAAGGAAGGCATTGCATGGTCCCACCCCAGGGCTTGTCACCTGCCTGGGAAGCTGAGTTCGTGGGCACTGGATGGAGGGCCTTGGAGGAGCAGTAGGTGTGCCTGTAAATGGCCTGCGGACCCTCAGAGTGCAGACCCTGCTAGGCCTACCTGCCCCTGGAGCCGTCACCAAGGAGGAGGCCTCACGTGCACACGTCCCCGGGAATCGAGGTGAAGTTCCATGTGGGCTGGCCTCACTGTCCTCAGGATACCAACGGTATCTGCATGAGCCTATTTCCCTAGCTGCCCTCCATTAGCGGGTGTCTGCCTGGCATCTAGATATAGTTGTTATAGTATTGCCATGTCACTTCAGTTACTCACATAGCATAGGACTTAGTGGAGTCAGTGATGCATGACGAGATCCCCTCCTCGGTGCCATGAACCTTTTCCTCTGTCCTCTCCAAGGTGTTCACTCGAGAGTGCATGAGCCACTACCTGCGGGTGTTTAACTTCCTGTGGCGGGCCAAGCGCATGGAGTACATCCTCACCGACATCCGGAAGGGGCACATGTGCAACGCCAAGCTGCTGCGGAGCATGCCAGGTACAGCCTTGTTGTGGGCCCGCCAGCCCCCGTGGCTCAGCCGCTGGAGGCAGCTGCCTGCTGCTGAGCAGGCAGGGGTGGGGCTCACTGTTGTGCTTTTTAGATTTTCTGTGGAAAGTCTTGTTTGTATCTTGACTTCAGTGCAAGTAAGAAGAACACTGAGTCATGCTAGAATTTTGTTCAAACCATGAAGTTTCTTTTAAAAGCACATTTGTTTTTCACTAGGGTTCATATGTATACTTTAATTTTTTAATCACCTGTTTTTAAAGAAAGAAAACCATTTATAAGCACTGGCTTATTTAAATTCATGTAGTGCCTTATTATATTCCCTGTAGAATTTCCTTAATATTTTATTTTGTCCATAAACCAGGACCTTAAAATGTTTTGTATTACGTTACAGTTTAAAACCATAGTAAAAATTCCTGGGTGTCAGTTGACGTTATTTTACTATTACAAATACTGAGTGACTGCTATTATGAGTCATTTTAGTATCTTCACACTGAAATTGTTTTGGTCAGAACCTTTGAGAAAGTGTTTCAGTTAACTGTCTCTCTAAAGAAATGCCGAACTGAGTGTGCCCTTTGCTGCCTCCTTTGAGTGGCGAGGGTCGTTGTCACAGGTGAGAAAGACACAGTCTTGCAGAGGCGCCCAAGACCTCTGCCCTCTGCCAGGCTGCACTGCTCCCTGAGTGGCTGCCAGAGGTCCAGACGCCACATGGCAGAGCAAGTGAGGAGCATCTCAACCACATAGGAAAGCAGCACCTCACTCGCCTGCAAGGTGCTAGTGACGGGCCGGGCTTTGCTGGGACTGAAGCTCCACGCAGGACAGGAGCCGGGCGTGCCGAGGGGCCGCCTGGCCCAGCGCAGTGCTGTGGTGCTGGTGGCAACTGTGGTGGACGTGGGGATGACGCTGTGAGGGATGGGTGGTGGTGTCCTCTGTAGAGCTGACTGTGAGCTTCTCTTGTCCTGTGTGCGGATGAGTGCTCAGCGATGACGCGCATGGAAGGGTCTGCGCTCACTCAGGCTCAGCTCCCCACACAGGCTGGCCATGTGCGCGGCTCCCCCTCCCTGCTGCGTGGCCTTGGCTGGTTTCTGCATCTCGTGCCTCCCTTTACCCCCTCAGGGATGGGGTGATGAGAGAGCACTGCCTGCCATTGTCGGGACTGACTGCAGGAGGCCTCGTCCGGCAGCCGGGTGGCAGAGTGATGGTGCGTGCCCATCATGCGATGCATGGTGTCAGGAAGAGAACCCTGGGGTGGCTGGAGGTTGAGAACAAGACACACAGGAGTCTGCGCCTTACAGCATGTTGGCGCCTGGAGCCTTGCGCTCCGGTGGGGGCCGTTACTAAGTTACGTTCAGTGTGGCGGCAGCAGATTTGCGTCGTCCTCCTTCCCCATGCACATACAGGATCTAGCACCTATGCCTGGAACGGGAGAGCTTGAATTTGGCTCAGGACTTCAGAGTTCCAGGCCCCTGTGGCTGGCCCCGAGCCGGGGACATCACGGTGAAAGGCGCAGAGGAGAGCGGCTCAGCTCCCATAGGGGAAGCCAAGGACCAGAAACAGGCCCGGCTGCTCCCCCAGAGGCGCCTCAGTCCAGCCAAGGTGCGGGCCGCAGTTGATGATCACAGGTGTGAAGACAGGCTGGGGAGGGACCTTGGGGCCAGGAGAGCTCCCATGGAGCAGGGGCTGATGGTTCCGACCACAGGGACTCTCTTCCAGCAGCCTGCAGAGGGCAGCAGAGAGTACCCAGATCTAAGTCAGGACTTAGATCTGTGTATTCGCAAGGCTGTGCTTCATTTTGTGTAGAAGACCAGTGCTAGCCCAGCAGGCCGTTCTTTATGTGTTGTGGGACCTCAGTGCCAGTGTGGCTGTGCTTCTGGGATCCTTAAGTTAGGTATTTGCGTATCAACCATAAAAAGAAAAACGCTTTTATTTCAGCATAGGTTTTTAATTTTTTTATTTTTAAAATAAAATATTTTGTTTGAAGGTGGGAAGAAGGAAGAGAGAGATAACAGACAGCCACTCTGGATGATTAGGGAAGATCTGAAAGTGGATTACTCTTGGGTTTTTGTCTGCAGCTCCTTTGAATGAGATCTTTGGCCCATGTAGTCTCCCAGAAGCCAGTTGGCTCCCTGGCTTGACTTCTATCCTAACCTTGGAGTTCTTCTGGCCGTGTGACCCTTCCCTGTCCTTTGGTGGAGAGTAAGGTGATGAGGGGCCCTTGTGGACTGGTAGCTAGGCTGAAGGGAAGTGATCCTTGTGTTAATCGTGCTACCTAGGAGCTTCCTGGTCGTGAGCAAGTTTTATGTGTGTGTTCAGGCATTGGGTAAAGAGAGTCCAGGTGTGATTCAGATGGAAGAGCTGAAAAGACTGGGCTGTGCCTGTGAGCTGAGCGTGTGCTTGTGAGAGCCCAGAGGACGTACATAGTATGTTGGGCGTCTGTCTCTCCCTGGTGAGGGGGCCTGCGCTGCGTGTTGGGGTCTAGGCGTGCCCCACCAGAGACTGCTTTAGAAGAACACAGGTGGAGGTGACTCCTGTGCGCCCCTGCTGTTAGACAAGACAGGAAGATGGTGTTTCTCCAGAAGGAAAATCGAGTCTGTGGCTGAATGATAGGAAAGGAAAGAATTCCTCTCTGGTGCCAAGTTGGCCTTGGTCATGGAAACCTCGAAAAGGGCGTGAGTTTGAACACCCAGGTGTTGGTGGCCCTGCAGCCCCGGGTGGCCCTAGTGCCTTGCCGGCCTTGCACCAGGCAGCCCATCTCCTCCGTGCCACTTCCTTACAGATGACCCGCGGGTGAACTGTGAAGCAGCCGTGGCACAGTGCTTCCACTGCTCAGGATACTGCCTTCTGTACAGTAAACCTTTTCCAACGGTCACGCTTTGTCCCGAACTGCCCCTCCCAGGCCTTATACTGGGTGGTGCGATGCAGAGGTGCTCGGTTAGGTGGCTCAGGCCTCGGTGTGGTGACGTGTGCAGGCTGCTTCCTGCTGATGGCCGGGAGGGAAGACGAGCTTCTGTGGAGGTGGGAGGGCCAGGCCGTGCTGTCCCGTGTGCCACGTGCGCCTCCATGGACCACCCCCTCCTCTGTCTGCAGAGTTCTCGGGGGTGCTGCACCAGTGCCACATCCTGGCCTCGGAGATGGTGCACTTCATCCACCAGATGCAGTACTACATCACGTTCGAGGTACACCCCGGGCCCTGTGGGGAGGGTCTGCATGGGGGGACTGTGGCCACAAGAGCCTCCCACGGTCGCCTCCAGGTGCTCGAGTGCTCGTGGGACGAGCTCTGGAACCGAGTGCAGCAGGCCCAGGACCTGGACCACATCATCGCAGCGCACGAGGCGTTCCTGGACACCATCACCTCACGCTGCCTGCTGGACAGCGACTCCAGGGTAAGGCCATCTCGTGGGAGCTTCTGTGGGCCCCGCTGGTCTGACTGCAGCAGCTGGACGGGAAGTCAGTGGTCAGAATTCCTGGTTCTCAACAGACTTCGCAAAGTGGGGGAGAGAAGACAGCTTCCACTGCCTCGGGGGTGTGGTGGTGGTGAGAGGAAGAGCACACTGCCCACCCTGTGGACGGTCTGCGTCTTGGAGAGGGGAGCTGAGCAGGGCACCCAGACAGCAGGGCGGGTGGGAGCGGTGCAAGGGGAGGGGCAGGAGCCTCGGGCCCCCTTTCCTCCCCTTCCTCCCACCCTCCCCCTTCTCCACTTCTTACTCCCCTCTTTCCTCCCACCCTACACTAGGTTTCATTATTAAAGAATCAGATTGTATGTGTAAAAAAATGGATAACATCCAAGATGCCACTATACAACAGAATGTCTTTATAAATACATTGAGATGACCACAAAAGTGGTTAAAATATTTGATTAGCGTTACTAATTTAAGAAATGTCTGTCTGTAAGTGGTTTGCAGGCCTTTAACCCTCTTAACCGTGGGTAGATGTGGGGTGCATCCTCTGCATGCTGCTGAGTGATGGACACAGGACAGAGATTTACCCCTCTCCCACCGGAGGCACCCTCCGTGCTGTGCATGGGCCAGGTGGGTCTGTCACTAGGTAGAATTGCCAGCATCAGACAGGTCCCAGGCTCTGATGCTTACTGAGACCCACTTGGTGTCTTCTGATGTATCTCCTTGTGCTTTGAAAGAGGCGGGGGTGGGGGTGGCGGCGGCAGTCTTTCTTCAGTGGGTTTGTGAGTCACATAAAACATTCAGCAGAGTGACCAGCATATAGGTGTTACTGCTAACATTTGAAGCAGTTGACATTTGTATTGCGTGTGTGTGTGTGTGTGTGTGTGTGTGTGTGTGTAGTTTACAGAGGTACTGACAATCACTAGATCTAATGCCTTGTAGCCTGCTTGATGACAGGGAAAGCCACAGCTCCTGCCTCTTGAACAAGAGCAGCTCCACGAGCCACCTCCAGGGGAGAATGTCACCCTGTCTGAAGCTTCATGTCCTTGTGCAGGGGTGTTTGCTTGTGACCGGGTCCCCAGCGTCCCTGCAGGAGCCTGCAGAAGTGTCCTCCTTCCCAAGTGAGCCTTGGTTGACTCCAAAGGTGATGATTTGTTCAGAAGTCACCAGATATTTTTTTAAAGAAAGCCATTATATAAAATAAATTATGTATTAAGTGAACATATTACTAATAAATTTTAAGTAATATTTTTGCTAAAAAAGGAGGCTGTTCTGACACAGACATTGATGTGGTAGCCTGAGAGTGGCAGCTGGTGCACGAATTTAGGTTTTCCTTCTCTGCAAGGTGCGGGAAGTCCTGACTTGCTGGAGGTTGGCGCAGTTGCGATTGCCACGGAGCGAGCTCTTTGGAGAGTCCTGAGCGCAGGCTGTGGCTCCAGTCCTCCAGCAGTATATCTGTGAGCACCCAGCCGGTTAGCTCTTGTTCCAGGGGTAAAGACTTGTTTTTACATGGCCGTGCTAATAAGATAAACAAGTTAGAGAAATCCAAGGCTAATAAAAACGTACAGTGTGTTGCAGAAGACACTGCTGTGAGTTCCTCCCGGACTCTCCCTTCCAGCACACCCTTCTCTCAGGCCCCTTCTGGATTAGCTGGAGAAGTCCTCTTGCCTGAGTGTGTTAGGAGGAGTCTTCAGAAATACAGTGAGCTTTGCTGCGTGCGCCACCCAATGGACACTGGAGCCTCATCCACCTCAGTCACCGGATCTGGGTGCTGTGCAACTTCCGGCTCCTCCCAAAGTCAGAATGACCACGTTAGGGGGAAGCATGTTAAATCAGTTCACATCAAGGCAGCCGCAGAAATTGAACCATCTTAATCTTTTGTTTTATTTTTTGGTCATAAAATAAGATCTCTCTGACAGATAAGTCAGCTTCTGAGAAATGTATTTATGGCATTAATGCAGGGTTGCCCGGTGTTAGGGACAGCACCACCTATCCAACCCTGAGTCTGAGCTCTGTTGTGTTTTGTTGTTGCTGTGACTGGCTGACACTGTCTTGCTCGAGTCTGATAATAGTGTGCAAGGAAATACCTGGAGACTGAGACTGGGAAAGACTGGATTTACTGTTGTCTTGGTACAGGCAGGCTGAAACAGGGAGGTAGCTGCGAGTATCTGGAGGGGAGGCTAAGTAAGTACAGGGTTTGGGGTTGGGGTTGTAGTCCCAAGGAATCTGGGTGGGATGTTGGAGGTCAAAGCTGCAAGGACCGTCTCCTGGTGTCAGGGGAGACTGCAGGTCCAGTCCTGAATTGTCTTTGGCCATCAGCTCTGTCTGCTGAGGGCAGCGGGTTCCTGTTGCTTGTGGAGGGCACCATGTCCACTGGGAAGTTCTCTCTCGGTCAGGCTGGGCCAAGCCCACTGTGGTAAGTGTGCGGGGAGGTGAGCTGCTCACCTTGCTGCCCTTTGTCTCCCTGGATTAGCTGGAAGTCCGTCTGGAAGGATTGCAAGTCTGCAGCAAATGCTCATTTCTGTCCTGTTTCCCTCAAGACCCAGTATGAGCTCAGCTGTCAGTGGTACTGCCGGGATTAGTGAGTGGACCCTGAACCCAAGTGTTGCCAGCCCCACTTGAAGGGAGCGCTAGAACAGAGGAGCCAGCGTGTCCATGGGTGGTGGTACCTCCGGCGTCTTCACTGGCCTGGGCGTGGGGGCTGGCCATGGGCAGCAAGGGCGAGAGGTTGTCCTGCTGTTCGGCTCTGGCACAGCTCTGTCAGCTGCTCTGTTTGCAGCATGGGCTGGTCTGGAGCACGGCTCATGTCTGCACTTTGACCTTTTCCATTTCTTCTTTCTTGGCTCTGCTGCGTTTCCCTTGGCATTTTTACATGTAGGGAGAGTTTCATTCCTCTTTCTACATGGTGGGTCTCCTGCTTTTCCTCAGCTTGAGCACAGGCACCCCTGCCCTGGTCCTCATGTGAAGGGGGTGCCGCTGCTCTGCCCAGGCTGCGGTTCTGCTAGGGACCCTGGGGGCTTTGTCAGGGGAGGATGGGTCTAACTTATACCACCCCTGGTTGTGCCATTGCGTGTTGCTGTGTAACCATGTGTATGGGTGTGTGGTACTTTGTGTATTTTCAAGTCAGATGAGCAGTTCTGTGCTGTAGATTCCATTGTTTCTGCCTTACACCGCATGAGAAGAGGGATCGACACAGATGTGTGGAGAGTACTGCACGGCATTGATAAGCAGCACAGAAGCGTGTGCTGTGGTGTTGGGGAGCAGAGATGACACTCTGCGGTGTTACTAAGGACTGGAGATGTATGCCGTGACGATGGTTGGTTTAGCAGTCCTAGGAGTTCGTTCCCTGTGAAGCCATCCTTTCCTGGTATAAAATGTGATGCTGGTTTTTAAAAGACTTTGCTCAATTTGCTTTGTATATTTCACTAAGAATGTCTGGTTTTGATCTGTCACAAAATACAGGTGTTTCCTTATTCTTTTGGCATAGTTCTATCTTAGCTGCCTACTCTGGCTTTGAAATTTGGGCAGAAGACTGTGATGATCTGCACAGAAAGCAGAACATCATCAGACTCTGTTTGTGGCCCTTGTCACAGCAGAGTCTTTATTGTTTGCTGTATCACAGAACACCCAAGATTCAGTGGTTATAAAAAGTCCCAGGAGCTCACAGTTTTAGAAGCCTAAGAGCAGTGTGCCTAGCTGTGCTTAGTCCCTGCTTCAGCTCATGCTGGACACCGCAGAGGGGCCAGGAGCTGACCTCCTTGGTGACTTGGGATGTGCTCCCGTGAGAAGGACTCAGGCCTTCTTGAAGGTCCAGTGCCTCTTCACACTGCCCGGTTGGGTTCCAGCTCTCCAACCCTTTACGTTTGGGAGGACAAAGCAGACCATAGTAGACGGACAGAATGACAGTGTAGTGCTGCTCAGGGAAGGGTTCAGGAAGTGTGTGACAGTGTGAACAGCTCACAGATACTGGAGGATTTGAGTTGATGTCTCGTTTTACTGCATTGTCTTAGTCTGCTTTGTGCTGCAATAGCGGAGTGCACTGCACTGGGTGGATTATAGAGTGGAGGTTTGCTTTCCCTCACGATTCTGGGAGCTGGAAATTGGGGTGTGTGGCACTGTGTGCGCTTGACTTCAGTGAGAATGACTGGGAGACAGCAGGACAGAGCCTTGCTGCGGAGCCAGCAGCGCCCCATGAGTGGGCAGTGGGTGCTGCTCCTGGGGCCCACCAGTCCCAGAGCAGAGCACACCCTTCATCCTCCGTGGGGGCCTCGAGGACCCGGTGCCTGGGTGCTGCAGAGTTACTGTGGAAACCAGATTTCAGCTCGAGTCTTAGAGGGGAGAGACCATGTCCACATGTTGCAAATACTCTTTTTCTAATGAGAAAAGCTGCATTTAAAAAACTTAGGGAGCATGTTGAAGGTCTAGTCATGAAAAATACTCCTATTTCAGGTACTTTTAAACCAGCTCAGAGCAGTGTTCGATCAAATCATTGAACTTCAGAACACTCAAGACGCAATATACCGAGCTGCCCTGGAAGAACTGCAGAGACGATTGCAGTTTGAAGAGAAGAAGAAGCAGCATGAGATGGAGGTGCGGTTGGTATTGGTGGTTTACGATTTCAGGAATGTGACAGGCTCGCTCCTTGACAGTGTCCTCATATGTGGCAGCACACAGCTTTCCGGTTGATGTTCCATCAAGTGGGGGCACCTTCACACCTACACAGGGGCCCTGAGGTTTAGTCACCTTGACAGCCATCGTGTTTTCACACACAAGTAAAGACAAGCATGTTAACGACAGTTGGGACCCCAGGCATCCATATGCCTGTTCTGTGGGTACTGGTGCTTCTGAGCCAGCCCAGCGCTGTGCCCTGTGCCCTGAGGCCTCACTCTGAGGGCGTCCTGGTGATCGCACTGCCAAGTGTTCTCAGGGCCTTGGGCTGGGGAGATGTGATAAGTAAGCGTGGTTGCCTGTGGAGTTTCTTTCTATTTACTGTGATATGTGCCATCTCACTTTTTCAAAATATTGACTGTTGGAGTGACCAGAGACGTTCAGACCACATGGTCGTTTAGTTTTAGCTTCAGTGTCGTTTCTGGGCAGCTTGTGTTAGAGGACCTTGTTGGGCCTGGCAGTCTGCTGTCCTGAGAGCATAGACCTTACGTGTGTTAGAAGCAGGAGTTGAGCCTGTCCCATGGCTGTCGCTGGCTTATCCCTTGTGGCGTGGCTCTGTGGCGATGCTGTGGAGCTGGGGAGGTTGTGCACAGGCTCACCGGCCTTCCCAAGCCCCCTGTGGATGAGTTGAGTCACAGAGGCGTGAGATTCAGCCCTAACTGTTGCTCACTGGCAGAGGTTAAGTGAGGTGAGGTATCAAGAAAGATGGTCCCAGAGCGCTCCACGGAGCCTGTGTCGCTCGTTCAGAGTCTGTGAGCGAGTCGATTATGGCCGGTGCTTTTGAGCTGTCCTTGCCCCAGGAAATTTCCTCTTGAGGAGAATCATTGAACTTCATAAAACTACAGCAGACCAGCCAGTGTTCCCCACTGTGGGAGGAGCGTGGGGTCCGGGTCCACTGTGTGGTAGCAGTGGTTTCAGCAGATGTCAGCATCGGGAGGAGGGGCCTGACCATGGCATGGGAGTGTTGTTGGTATATTCTGCTCAGTGTGTCTCTTAGTGTTGCTGTCACTGAGACAGAATACCTGATCTTCGAGGGAGGAAGCGTTATCTAGCTTAAAGTTTGGGAGGTTTCAGTCCATAAACAGCTGGCTCCAAACCAGGGTGGCACGGTGAGGGGCAGCTGTCCAAGGCAGCAGAAGACAGCAAAGCAACAAGAGCAAAAGAGGGGAAGCCTCTTCTCCCTTATATTGTTGCAGGCCCCCCACCCACAGGGTGTTGCAACATTCACACCAACTCCCGCCCTCCTCCTTTACAGGCTCAGGATGTTTACAAAGTGAGAGCCCTGGACCTCCGCTGACTCACTTAGCTAAACTTCTTTTTATTTATTATTACTATTTTTTTATTTTAAAGAGTAAAAGAAGGATAACATAGTAATAGGGGAGCTTACCAAATTACAGAAAAGTGGTAGGAAATTATCAATGGTTGTTGTTTTACATATTGTTATCTACAAGATAGTTTCTCAGGAAAACAGACAATAATAGTGAGCTACAGACAAAAGTGGTAGGTTATTATCAATGGTTGTTGTACTATACTTTGGTATCTTCAAAGTGGTTTCCAAAGAAAAATAGAGTTATACATGAGTGACCAATTGAATAATCATTGACTGTTCTCAGTGGTTGTTGTAGGAAACACATAGCAGCAAACATACATCCATTTACGAAATAGCATAGGAACAATACAAACATTACAGAGCTATGGACAGATTAGTAGGAAAATATCAATGGCTGCTGTAATACATGGTGGTATCTTCAAAGTGGTTTCTCAGGAAGACAGAGATACACAAATTTTAAAGAGTAAAAGAAGGGTAACATAGTAATAGGAGGGCTTACCAAATTACAGACAGAGTGGTAGGAAGTTATCAATGGTTGTTGTTTTACATATTGTTATCTACAAGATAGTTTCTCACTTAGCTAAACTTCTAAACTTCTCAAATTGACACAAGGAAGAACATCCTGGAGCAGTGAGGGCATGTCCTCTACCCAGGGCTGCCGAGTTACTTAGTTAAGCTTGTAGACTGCTCAGGTTGACGCAGTGTATCAACCATTGCACTCAGACTTGCAGGAAAGAAGGCTGGAGCTGTGCCGGCAGCATGTCTACATTCAGGAGGCAGGGAGCTTTGCAGGTGGTCTTGAGCTCTGAGGTTCACAGGCAGTACCAGGCCAGCAGGGTCCCCGAGAGCCCACCGTGGACGGTGGCTCCTCCCTGCTTGGCCACTGCCCCAGAGGGTCTTCTTTCTCATTCAGTTCTCGGCTCTGTCTGCATTCTTTCCACTTTTCTCCTCAAACCCCCTGTAGTTATTTATGGTATTTCCGGTTCAGATTTACAATTGAAGGGCTTCTACTCCTTAAACATATTTTGTACTTTGGAAGTCTTGGTTTCTCACATTAGCAGTTACTTTTTTCTTAGGCCATATGCATACCCACACCCTCAGCCATCTTACAGTAAGAGTCCTGGTTCTGTCACCAGCAATATAGTAACAGGGTAGTTCCTGGAAAAGTAGCTATCGCTTCTTTTCCCCCTTAGAAATCCCCACAGGAAGCTGGGAATGGTGGTGCACCCTTGTAATCCTGGCAATCTGGGAGGCTGAGGCAGGAGGATCACAAATTCAAGCCCAGCTTAGGCTGCTTAGCAGGACCCTGATTCAAAATGAAAAAAAAAGTGGGGAGGGGCTAGGGATGTAGCTCAGTGTGAAGGCCTGTGGTTTAATCCCCAGGAAAACACACACGTACGGAGGCTGAGGCTGAGCGGGCGTGATGGGTGGCTCAGGAAGCGGGCAATGCCTAGTGCTAAAACTCAGAGAGGAAGGACAGCCCGGATTAGAGATACGGTGGAAAAGTTTAGGTCACATGTGAGTGAATAAAACTGAGCAGAAATTAGAAGAACAGTTTATGATGACTAGGACTCATCTCAGGAATGTAGAGGTTCTGGAAGTCTAGTAACATAATTCACTGTGTTAACTGTTCAGAGGAGAATAACTCTGATTCTGAATAGCTCTGTGTGGGATGCCTGGAAAGGCACCAGGGGAACTTGGCGCTGATTGAAGGTAAATCCTCTCAAAGTGGAGCTAGATGTGCAGGAAGCCACCCCTGCCCTCTGGGAGTGGTCAGAAGCATCCCTGTCCCAGCTACAAGAACATAGGGCTACACGAGTGCCAGCGGCTTACTCTGCTTGTATGTGTACTTCAGGGAATTTAACCCCTGCACTTTCTCTCTTTGTTTTTTGAGAGGGTTCCCAGTAAGTTCCTCAGGCTGGGCTCAAACTTGGGATCCTTCTGCCTCAGCCTCCAGAGTGCTGGGACCACAAGCATGCTGGCTCTGACTCCATTTCATGTATGGTCTAAATACATAAACAGTTATTTTGCCTGAATAAAAGATGTGTCCAAGATGACGGGAAGATACAAGGCTGTTTATTTGTGTAGAAGTCTGGTAGCTTAGGCTGAATCCCATCATTGCTGTGTATTATACAGTGTATTGCTGTAGTTACTAAAAACAGTGAATTGTGAGAAAATTTAGTTGGTGTTTTTGATTCTCCAGGGCCAGTGGGGAGTGACGGCCGCAGAGGAGGAGGAGGAGAACAGGAGGGTTCAAGAATTTCAAGAATCCATACCCAAAATGTGTTCCCAGCTGCGGATCTTGACACACTTCTACCAGGTGCGTGCAGGAGTGCGGCCACTTTGCCGTTGCTGTGACCGAGGCCGCTGTCACGCTGGAATGGGGCTGGTAGCCCCACGGTGTAGACGAGAGCCCCAGGGCCTCCAGGGACACGGTAGTCCTCCAGGGGCTGGGTGCCCGTCCTGGGCATGGGCCTGGCTGGCAGTGGCGTGTGCTGTGCCTGTTCCGGAAACCTGGCACTCGGGTTTAGGGTTACAGGGTGCCCGGGGGGTGTGGCCACGTCTTGGAGAGCAGGTTAATCAGGGTGTCGTCCCCTCCCCTCCGCCCCCTGTTCTGCCACGTGGCCATCTTCATTTCCTTTGGAAGCTGTTACCTTCCGGGTCTCTTTCCTCACAGCCAAGTTCCTCTGCTCTCAGCGAGCTGCAGTGGGCAGGGTGAGAGTGTGGCTTGTCCCGGCTGCTCAGTCCCAGCCGGTCCTCGGGTTTACTGGGAGTCAGCTTCACAGGTCATCACGATTCAGTTTCCTGTCTTACCGGAAATAGGCTGCATTTTTGGCAGTAGTTTGTAGGGACTTTCGTCTGCCATCACCTGGAGTGACAAATGGGCACAGCACATTGCGGTCTGCCCTGTGCCGGGCAGGGTGCCGAGTGTGAGCTCCGCTCCTGTCCTGCCCAGTCTCCTGTGACCTAGGAGGGGACTTGGCTCAGGTACCCCTCTCTGCCAGCAGCTTCTCCCAGGCTGCAGGAGCCACAGGGCCTGGACTCCTGATAGAGCTCAGGAAATGAGTGTCTGCTTGTCCTGTGCACAAAGGCCCAACAGTGAGGGGACCCCAGACCCTGTGAGGAATCCACTTCGTAAATCATGGGGCAGGTGAGAAACGCAGCCCTGGGTTTTGTACTGGAGGCTTTAAGGCCTGTTGCTTTTTGCTTCCTTAAGGGCAAAAGGAAAAATCCACTGGTTAGGTGGTGTGAAATAAAAGATGTGCACTGCTGATTTGTATTGGTGAGAACGTAACTCCATGTGATGTGCCAGAGGGGCTGTGTGATCTCCTGGTCCCCACTCTGCTTCTGGACACTGGTGGGTGTCCGGGAGGTCGGTGCTCAGAGGAGGAGGCCAGCAGGGTCCAGAGGCCATTCTGGAGCTTCCTGTTGGTGATGACTGTCCCCTGTGGTTCCTTTCAGGGCATTGTGCAGCAGTTCCTGGTGTTACTGACGACCAGCTCCGACGAAAGTCTCCGGTTCCTCAGCTTCAGGCTGGACTTCAATGAACACTACAAGGCCAGGGAGCCCAGGCTCCGTGTGTCTCTGGGCTCTAGGGGGCGGCGCATATCCCACACATGAAGGCCATGTGACTCATCACCAGCCACCAGCTCCCAAGGTGCATAGGGCCAGCTGCCACTGGTGGCCACCTCTGCTCAAGGTCCACGGTGTCCATCAGTGGCATGGTGTTCAGTAGGTTAGAGTCAGCCACGTCCACCAGAGCTGAATTAGGCGATGTGGCTGAGATAAGCAGCTGCTCCCGCTGGTCAGGCTTCCCTGCCACAGTCAGTGTGAGATGCCACAGCGTGGGGCTTTGTTCCCCAGGGTGGCGCAGGGGCCAGGCAGCGTGTTCGTTCAGAACAAAGCCCTCTTTAGAGACAGCTTTTGTTACCATAATAAAGCTAAACTGAAGCAAGGTGTCCCTGCTCAGAGAACACAGAGCATTTTATTTTGGTTTTTGTGTTGTGAAATACTCACCTGAGAGCACTTGTATCTGTATGCACCACCTTCACGTGCTTGCTCGCTCTTTCTCTTCTTCCGAAGTTTACATCTTCATATGTACTGTTTCATGTGACTTCCAAAGCAGTACAAAAAAAGCAGGAGCGGTCTCGAACAGACAGGACTAAGTGGCAGCCTGGGCCTCGAAGCCGTTGCCGGAGCGGTGCGTAAGTCCAGCAGACTCGAGAGTGAACGGAGGATTTTACTCTCAGATTTGTACAAGCACTGGAAAGAAATCCACTTGGATAATGAAGATTTCCTTTTTCTTTGCCTATTTTTTCACTGTAAATATTTATAGACTACTGACCATAGGGGGGGGGATTGTTTTTTGTAAGAGGAAAATGTCATATCAGGTCACCTAAATCTGACTTTTTTTATGTTACATAGTGTAAACTTAGAAAATTAAAACAACTATCTTTCAGACGCAGTGCTGTTTCCTGACTAGTCTGAGGAGACAGCTGGATCAGCCCAGGTTTGCTGTCCTGTGCTGCAGTGTTGGCTGGGAAGCCGTGTCACGTGTGGGCGGCTTTACATGTGGCACTGAGAGGAGCCCCGCCTATGGCCCTGCTGTGCCCTTTCAGCCATCTGAGAGTATAAATGTATTTAATTTTAGTACAAAATTTCATAAAGTTGGGAATTTGAAGTAGGCTTCTCTACCGAGTCTTCCCCAAAATCACGGCATACAGGTAATCTCCCTAAGTGAGTCTGCACACAGGACCTGCTTGTCTTGTTTGGTTCGAAGTGTTGCTGCAGGGGTTTGTCCTTGGCAGGAGCCACTCCATGAAGTGTCCCAGGGGAAACCACCTGGGCCTGGGAGTTGTCCCCAGAGGGAACCTCGGAGCAAGCCTGGCCTGGCAGGTGGGGTCAGGATGGGGCGAGGATGGACAGGGCAGGCACATGGTCCCTGCAGGAGAGGTTCCGCCTGGCTCCTTGCTCAGGAGTGTTCCTGTCCCTCCTAATCTTGCCTTAGAGACTGGAGAAGCCCTCTCTGTGGGACCACCCAAGGGACGCACAGCCTCGTGACCCTGAGTCCCTGTGGAAGGTGTGTCCCCTGACACAGACACTAGCAGGGGGCACCGCCCACCCCAAAGTTGCACAGCCTGGGCAAGAGCATTCTGTGCCACAAGAGCCAGGCCCGAAATCCCTGGCTTTGGGGTGTGCAAGCTGCGTGTGGGTCCAACCATGCCCCGGTGGCCAGGCTGTAGTGGTTATGTCTGTTAGAGGGCGCGCACCTGGCTGCTGCTTGCGTCGTGTCCTGCTGAGGCTGGTAGAGGCCTGAGATACGGCCCCACAGCAGATCCCTGCAGACTTCTCCTCTCACTCCAAAGATCATGAAGCACTTGGCCTCTCATGTCTTGTTTTTAATCAGCTTGGAATTAAATTTAACACAGTGTGAGGCAGAGCCAGCTGCACCAAGTTTTCAGAAGGGTGTCCAGTTTGCAGAGAGCAGACGTTGAGAAGCTCGGTCCAGATGGCTGTGTTGGGAGCAAGGGCCTGTGGTCTGCGTGTGTGCTTTGTCCTGTGGATCTGCTTGTCTCCCCCCAAGTTGATACAGAAGTGTCCTGGTCCCCGTGGTTCTGTGATATCTTCTGGCAGCTCTTTGGAAGAGAGCTGCAGGCTGACTCAGGAGCACACGGGTGGACTGGAGCGGAGCTCAGGTTTGAGGCCCTTGTTCAGTCCCTGGGGAGGGTACACTGGCTCTTTGTGTCCTTTTTCTCTCTTAGCAGCTCTAAAACCCAGTTCTATTTAAAAGGATGAGAAGGTTGTAATAATACCTTGGTTCACCAGTGCTTCTGTGTGTGAACAATTTGCTTCCTAAACAGAAGCACTTAGCAAAATATTGCTTCTGTTTGTTGTGAGCTCTGCATTGGGTGACGAACATGACCACAGCCATGGAATGAATTCAGTTCGTGAACCAGGGCAGCACTGTCTAAAATTGTTTTAGAAAGGCCCTGTATTTATATATTCTTTTAGTCCGTGGGCGCAGTAATTCTGTTTTTGCCTAGGTCTTCCTTAATGTCTTTCGGAGTTCTGTAAGTTTCTCCGTGTTAGTGTTGTGTGAATTTCATTACATTTAGTGCTGAGTTTCTTTTTTTTAGCATTAAGGTGAATGACATCTTTATAATTTTCTATTTGTTGCTGATACACAGAAATGTGACTAATTTTTACCTATGGATTTTATATCCAAAAGACTTGCCAGATAATCTAGCATTACCCTGTGGTGCACTGGCTAGTCTGCCAGTCCTTTCAAGTCTGTGTCCTTCTGGAAGCAGAGAAGGTGGAACTAGATGTACAAGAGACTGATGAGAGGAATTCCGGGAGGTGGAGGAGCCTCGGCCCCGGCCTGGTGAGAGCTCGATGCATGCAGGGAGGGCAGGGCAGTGAGGTTGTGGGAGGTCAGCAGAGCCGCCGTAGCAGGCGCTGTCCAGTCCGTTGCACGGCCTTGGTGTGGGCTGTGGCTCACTGAGCTGGCTCAGTCCTCAGAGCCCCGTCTCCTGGGTGCAGAGATGCATGTCCAGGTTGGACACATCTGGGGGCAGTTTCTGTGCTCCTGAGGCCCCATGCTGGGTTGCCTCTGCCACCTCCCTCTCCTGTCCTGTCTAGTTGGAACCCTTTCCCTCCTTGACTGGCTACCAGACCCTTCCAGGCCAGGGCTGCTGGAGACACGGACAGGAAGCCCGAGGCGGCGTGGCATGGCATAGCCTCAGCCCAATACCTGTGTGTCAGCGTGGGCATGTCCCACCTCCTGCCACCTCTGTGGCCCAGGAGGGGTCCTGGGTGCCTGGGCATGGATGCCTGGGCAGCCGTAATTGTCGTTCACTGGGGTCTTATTGAGGTGGGGAGGAGGCAGGGAGACTTGCAAGGAGTCCCTGCCGTGTGTGCAGCTGCCTGTGGGGGGCTGACCTTGCAGTGAGGCCACAGCTGGTGATGCTGGACCTTGGGCTCTGGGTGGTGTACAGGGTCACCCTGGAGGGGCATCCAGGGTCCCTGTGGGTCAGCCACCCCTGTGTGTGTGTGTGTGTATGTGTGTGCTTGTGTGTGGGCACCATGCAGACCTATGGCGTCTGTGGGCTCCAGGCAGCTGGACACTCCCCAGGCCCCCGCCATGGGAGGACCAAGTGAGGCTGGGCGTCAAAGCCAACCTTGTGGGCCAGTCCAGTGGCAGTTGGTGTTCTCAGGGCAACATGAAGTGGCTAAGAACACAGACTTCAAAGCAGCCAGCTGCATATCTTTCAGAGAAGGGAGCTGTTAAAGTCTATGTACACGTATGAAGTTCCTCATCAAATACGAGTTTCAGCTGACCTCTGTCTCCAGAGTAACAAGCTAAACAGCACTGACAGCCTGCACTGTGCCCAGGAAACTGCAAGTGGCTGGGGCGGGAAGGGCTGAGCTCACCAGTGTGCCGGGTGTGCAGGAGGCACGGTGGCCTGGAGTTGTGGGCAGCGTGGGTGAGTGCTGTGTGCCTTGGTCAGGCTGAGTCCTCCACAGCGCAGCTGCTGACCAGCTGTACCCTCCTTGCTGCGCCTTGTTGGCCTCTCGCCTCCTTATGGACTCCGAAGGCTCTGCACATCACCCCGGGCAACACAGCTGGATGAGGACACACAGATGTCATCCGGAGCTTCTGTCCCCAGTCTGCATGGCCAGGCGGCCGTACCATCTCCTGGAGCTGGGCTGCAAGGCCTCTAGGCACTGTGTGTCCCAAGCTGGGGTGGAGATCTGCCTGAAGACCTGAGAAGTGGGGGGTCAGTGCCCAGCTGTGTGTCTCGGAGGACCTACGGTCCTGGGGCCCCTGAAGTAGGGACCTGGAGTCCCCACAGTTTCCCAGTGCCAGGGTCGTCCAGAAGTCAGGACTTCACGACAGCGGGGCTGATTCCCAACACAACTCCAGTGGCACTGCCCACAGTCTGACCTGACAGCTGCCTGGAGGTGTCCCTCGTCAGGTCACCCGTGTCGGGGCAGAGCAGGCTGTGGGCATGAAAGCCCCTCTGCCCTGCCCACGGGCTACTGTGCTTGGGCTGTGACCTGCGGGGGTGCCCAGCTGGTGGCTGCTTGGGGTCTGGGTGGTGTCCATGCCTCTCCTTGCAATGCGACTCCTGGGCCCTGCCCGTGCCCCCAGTGTCTGCTGCCCCCCAGGCACCCAGTTTTGGGCACTACCCCTCCTAGAAGCCAAGCTGACAAGATGCAGTCCATGCTGTGGAGCCCAGGGTAGGCGCGCAGGAGAGGAAGTGAAAATCACACAAAGATCCCCGTGCCCTGAAAATACACCCTGCTCTCTGGAAAATTGAGTGAAGTGGTATGGAAATGCGGCTGCATGATTATGGATATTGTTCTGCAGACGTGCTTCCAGGTGTCTCTTAGTGGAGGGAAATAAATCTGTTCCCCTGCCTCTGCGCCTGGTTTGCGGTTTTAATGAAGACACAGTGAGGCTTGTGGGTCGGGGAGGACCGAGGGGCTGTCTTCCTGGCTGGATGGGCACTGCTTGCACTGGCTGTAGGGGCCCCTTGGGGTGTGTAGGCCCCTGGGCTCCCCGCCTGGGCACCCAGCTAGCTGCGGCCCAGGTAGAGGGCAGGCTTGGGTGCCCAGGCCTGTGCCCATGAGGGGTGGGCATGACCCACAGGTGAGTGTGCTGTGGTGTGAGGGTCTGCACCACCTCGGTGAGGCTTGGGCTGCACACCTGTGCGGTCCTGTAGGCTGGACAGGAGCTGCACCTGGGGAAACCAGCTGTGGTCCACATGGAACAGACATCTGCAATGCATGGGTCAGTAGAAACCAACCATTTTTGACAGCTGGACACACAGACAGTGCTATAGTCAGGGTTCACAAGGAAATGGATTTAGTACAGGACACTTTATTTTACAGGATTATTTTATAGTACTGAAAGAATCAAATGCAGAAGAGTGCAAGCAATCTGTCCACACACTAGAAACCCAAAGCATCCAGCTGAGGGCCTGAATCCTGTGGCAGTGTTGTGCACGAGTCCCGTTGGAGACCTAAAGTCCATGGGCAATGTCCTCCTCGAGTCCAGCTGGAGGCCTGGCGCCCACAACGATGTTTCATGCAAGCCTGTTTCACGGATCTGCACTAGGAAGGCCCAAAGGTCAGTGGTGGAAGCTGGAAAGTCTGTGGCAGTGGGATGAAGGATCTGTGCTAGGGCCAGGAAACAGCGCTCAAGGTAAGGACCAGAGATCCCTGAAGAGAACTGCAGCCACCCGCAGTGATAGCGAGGATCCAGACTCCTCTGACAACAGTTTAGCTCATATCAGGAAAACCAGCATGGCAAGCTTCTCTGGGAGAATCAGCAGTGCACCATCTCTCCCTGCAGTTCTTTATGCTGTAGGCAACAATCCTGAGGTAGGCTGGGTGTTCCAAGTTGACCATTAGTTAATCCACCACAGACAGTGTAACTTAGGGTTTCCTTTTGA